TCAAGTTCCCCAATCACACGCCACATTGAGTCATCTCCACGCTCCATGCCCCCTATGCCTCATCATATCAACAGCGGGCCCCCATCTTACGGTAGCAGTCCGCGGAGTAGCGCTCCTCGACTTGCTCCTGATCGATGGGGTAACGAGATTCCTCCTGATGCCCAGTGGACCAGAATTAGACGGGAGCTCGTTAGCCCCGAGGTCCTTGAACGGGCTGGTGTGCGCTACGAGGCTCGCCCAGACTACGTTGCAATTTTGGGCCGTTTGACCCGAGATCAAGTGTCTGAGTTCGCCCGCGAAAGTGCTGCCTGTCGAGCTGCTCGCTCAAGACGTGGTCCGCCGTCTCGCAAGCATGACCATCATTCTGAGCGGCGAGGCTCGAAGAGTAGCCGGGAGGACGATGATGATGATAGTGGAGTCTCTGACGAAACCGATACCTCAGACGATGAAGAAGATAAGTCATCCGAGAAAGGAACCAAGAGCTATCCGTATATCGTCAATCCTCCTACAAAGAACCCGACATCTCCTTCGAGCACCACAATGCCGAAGCCAATCCTCAAGAACAAAAACGAAAACCACGTGCGCTTCGACCCGGAGCCGTACGAGGTTGACGCCCGAAGTCCCCGATCATATAGGGACGATCGCCATCGTGATCGCGACCATGATCATCATCGTGAGCGCCGACGCCAGAGCCCTACCAGATCATCGCGACGTTCGCGAAGATACTCTGACAGCGCAGATCGACACTCAAGAAGCGATAGGCATGGTGATTACTACTACGACAGCGGAAAGCGGTACCATCGCGAGAGAGGTCGTGACCGTGACCGAGACCGTGAGCGGGATCGCGACAGAGACCGCGACAGGAGAAGTACAAGGAGGGAAGATCGCCCTCAAGGAAGAAAGAAATGGGGTGAAGCTCTTGGCGCTGTTGGCATTGGCGGTGCAGCAGTGAGCCTTCTGAGCGTCCTTGCTGAAGCAGCATCATGATTTCAACGGGCTGGTTCCGTATCACATTACCTATCACTTCCCTTTGTCATTTCCTTATTATGATTTTTGGACTGCGATTTTGGATATGTATCAAAGCCAACTGTAAGATGGACTGGACCACAGAACAAGATGGGAACAGAGAAAAACTAGGGAAAAGAGTTTGTCAGTTTTATACCTTATTTGGAACTTATGTATGTAGTTATACCACGGATGACACGCATGTCTACGAAAGAGACGATCAGAGACTATGGCAGGATTAGATACCCACGATAAGATGACACCAGAATATAGCAGTTATGAATCAGACCTTGTTTTCATTTGGCGTGTTTGTTTTATTTCAAGTTGAATATTACGAATGATGGATGAACCACTGGCTAAGTGACGACAAACGCTTCTTGACTCGCTACGCTAAGTCTATGATACATGGCATCTAGATGATGATAGTCTAGATCTATCACTAGTGCTTTGTGTCTACACCATTAATTCATTTTCTAAAGTCTTCCACCACTCCCTCGCATCCACGGCTGTCTTCTCAGGCGCAGGCCCCGTCGCGCGGGGTCTAGGCTGCGGTTTACGCCTCCATTCGAGGATCTTCATCTCAAAGTTCCTGGGCCAGTTCTCTTTGCGCCTCTCGTAGGTCTCCGCCTCTTCAATCGCGCCACTTGCAGCCATCATCTGAGTTTCTAAACCGCCCTTCAACTGAGGCAGTGTCGTTCGTAACTCCTTAGCCCATTTGAAGCGTGGCAGATCTACTGAACGCTCCAGGCACACATAACCTTGCGAAGTGCGATAGCGTATCTGGTCGTGTAGAAATTCACTGAATTCTGTGACGATATGCGGTACGGCAGTAGTTGCAAAGTTGCCCTTTCGCCGGCGGCTGTCCTTGGAAGCGGTACTAAGGAGATTTTCCAGGCATTTTGCGATCTGGTACCAGGCATGCTCCTTTTGTGTTTCAACTGTTCTACGACTATGGCTGGGCTCTGAGGCTTCCTGAAGAACGTCGTCAAACACGGTCTGTAGGTGTTGTTTTTCAAGGTGACGATAATGAGGAACAGCATGGTCGCGTATCATGTCCAATGCCTCACTGAATCTATGCTTAAATATAAGCGAATTGATGTAAACGATGTAATTTTCGAACGAAGGCTCGACATTGTAAGGTTCTGAAGTCATTGTGTCCCAAATCTCAGTAACCATTGATGAAGTCACCTTTGAGGAGGGGGGAAAGAAATCCATGAACCGACGCTGACGCTGATTTGATTTAACTCCGCAAACATAGGCCCAGTTGAGAAGATTACACCATGTTTCACGTGGAATAGGTATTTGGTAGGTGTTTGAGACGTGGATGAGGAGCTGGCATGCCAGCCGGATGCGCATCATGGACCCGAATGCTTCAACAATAGCATTCAAGAAACGCTCAGTGGGAGCTCGTGGGTTGCCTGGGCGAAACGTCTTGCGACCATTGACGGTGAAGGTGCCGGTTGCTTTGTCTTCTACCAGTCCAATACCGAATCCTCGTTTGAGGACAATGCCTCGCATATGTTGGAACGAACCACTGCGAGCGAACGCAATGAGAGTGGTACAAAGTAGTTCCTCATTTAGTAGAACACCAGTATCCTTGCTGCGGCGCCAATGTGCGAAGTAACTTTGAAACCCTGTCTTCTTGCGCTTCCATAGCATGTTGTCTGCCCATACCCGATGTCGTTGGCGATTGAAGGGGGTCGCGCGAAGGGCATTCCGGCTATGCCGGAGACTTTCTAGTCGCCAAACATTGTCGAGGGGCGTTCTGAAAAATATTTTGTACCCCTCACGAGGCTTGTAAAGGACTCTCTGTCGGTGATACTGGTAGTATACAGGATCGGTCAGGTAGCGAGCCTTGAAGAACTCGTTCCAAGTTCTTGTGCTGCGTTTTGGTCCCAAGCCATGGCGTGTAATTGCACTGAAAAAGAAGACAGCATCTGCTAAGTCCCCAGCGGCGCCCGCGCAACGGATGAGGATTTCGTAATCAGACAGGACAAGGTTGCGACCAGCGTCACGACGAGCTTTAGTGAGAATCTTCAAAGCGTTGAGAACAAAGCGATGCTGATACCGCACGCCGAATTCGTCTACCAGGTGGTGTGCATTTGTGAATTGCATTTCACCAGGAGAAATGGTGATGTCGTGTGCAACATCGAGATATTTATTTGCGACGGGGTCAAGTGCTCGAAGGATCTCAGAAAATGTTGCAACAGGAAGCCCAGCTAGCTCTTGAAGAGCTGCGTTGGCGACCTCAGCATCATCATTGACCAACGATTTTACCCAGGCTTGGAACGCTGGGAGGACACGACCAGTCTCTTGACATCGTATAACTTTGAGAAATGCATCTAAAGGCGTTGTACGGTAGGTCGAGCTTTCGTCTAGTAATGACCTACCTCGCTGTTGCGCAAAAGTCGAAGTTGAAGTTGAAACTGGGGGAGATATTGATGCCAACCATCGTCTTCGACCCACCTCAGCGGGTCGTTGGTGTGTTAGCGAGGAACCATAGATCCGTAGCGCGAAAGCGAGTGGAGTTGTCGATGGATAATCGAGACGGGTCCCTCTTGAGAGGGATTGTCGCCAAAGCATGGCACTGAAGTTGTCGCGAAAAACAAAAAACGCAAAAACATGAGAGAAATAAAAGAGGAAGATGATGAAGGTGGAAGACCTCGGATGTAACTGAACACCTCCTCTTTCAACGCGAGGGGCGTTTGGCTGCCGTGTAACCCAAATCGGGAAGGACCAGGCCTGAGCCGCACTGGTTAAGTGCATTAAAACATGGGGTAATGTATGGTATAGATGCAATCGCTGCCGTCACGGCTTACTGCATAACGTAGCAATTTCTCCGAGGATTTCCCAACCCTGCCAATTCGCGTTTTCCCACTGAACCTTGGTGCTCATATCCAGCTCAGCCCTGCTAAGCTCACCACCACACTCACCGAGACGACCCTAATCCAGTCAATAACTCCTCCAAATAATCATGGCTGACGCAGGCGAAGAGCCTCATCACGTTTCGGAGCCTCTCGACCTTGTTCGACTCCTTCTCAACGAGGTGGTCTTTGTCAAGCTTCGAGGAGACCGTGAACTCAAGGGAAAGCTACACGTCAGTTAAGCCTGTAACTTATATGATTAAGAAGGTTCTGACAATAGACAGGCTTACGACAGTCACTGCAATCTGGTGTTGGGAGAGGTTGAGGAGACCATCTATACTGTGGATGAGGACGATGATGATGAAGAGCTCAAGGTATGCGGGGTTCTGGGATTGATCTGAGTCGGGTCTAACTGAAATGCAGACTATCAGCCGGAAATCTGAGATGTTATTTGTGAGAGGTGAGTCGATCTGAGGCTCAGTCGTGTCTCGATACTGACGTCAAGTTAGGCGATAGTGTTGTCCTTATCTCACCTGGAGTTCCGTTCTAGAGGGGGATACAAAGAATCATTATGCCCTGCACACACCCAAATGTGCAAACACTGGCTCAGCAGCAACGATGCATGTTGCCATACGACAGCCTGAGGCACGAAGCTGCTCAAAACACCCTGAAAGCAGCTCAAGACTGCGTTGAAACCAACATTTAGAGTCCAATATCTTGTTACAGCCCTTGAGCCACATCATGTGTCAGCCAAAGCAAAGTCGAAGTTGAACAAGTGGCTCCTATTGCTGGAAAGCTCACCTTGACAAATTTAGCTCAAGGTCTAGATAGATAGAGCGTTGATAGCACAAAAGAACATTGATGCCAACAACCACCTCAAGTTCGCATCTCATACAACCCGTCCGACACCGGCATATCACAAGTCGTTGGCCAATACAGGTTGTCCATTGATGAAACCATGGTTCTCATCGCATTTTATAACCCCGATAAATGAATGCGGCTTGAGACGCCATCCAACCATTTTGGGCTCAAGAGGCCCGTGCATACAGCTTGAGCTCTTATCGATAGGCAGGCGTGGCGTGGCGTGCCTGTCCGTGTTGTGAGTAACCCCCCGCGCATCAGGTGCTACCTTTAAACTTATAACTTTGTCTATGACTCTTCTGAATTCAAAACTTCAAAACAGTCAGACGGCGAGAAGTGGCGCAGCTTTTTTGAGAGTCATTCTTCCAATCATTTAAATAATTCTCTGGCCTTCAATCTATCACTTGCTTGCAATTCAATGATTACACGAATACTCTATCCAGTATAAATCGCATGACCTCATCGTTATAATGTCGGCGAAGCCATTAGCGCACGAGAAGCGCAAGGGCGAATCGGTTCGTTTATCTTTAGGATCCGCGGTGTATATACACTCATGCTTGACATAGGCGCTCAGCGATTTCGCGGATTATGTAGAGCAACAGCAGAACCTACGGTACCCGACCGCACGAACGACGACGAGCACAGCCGAGATAACAGACACAAATACCGAACATCACGAAGAGCTCGATGAGCTATTCGACAATCTTGATCTTGCCGAATCAGCACCACGAGTGCCTCTCAAGGACCTTCTCCTTGGATCGACTGAAGATACACTGAAACAATTGGAGGAAATTGTCTCTGACCGGTTAGAGGAGGGTTTCGGTGAATGCGTTTTCGAGATCGGATATGAGAACCATGGCGAATCGATGAAGCTGACCCTCGACCAATGGAACCAGGCGTTCAAGACACTTCAGGAAGCAGCAAAGGGGGTACGCGCCGACTGCGACCTGCTCTTGTCCAAGAATGTCGGTGGCGACCTCGAGGCCGCGAGCACTACCGACAAGCCTACCAAGGATAAGAGCTGCAGCGGCAAGGTCCTGATCCGCCAGAATCCCGCAACAATAGAAGATGTCATTGAAACCCGGATAGCGGTAGTAGGGAATGGTGAGTTCTTCCAAGCTCCATCTGGTTAGTACCACTATTGACACGTTGCAGTCGACGCAGGCAAGAGTTCCATGTTGGGCGTGCTCGTAAAGGGAGATCTTGATGATGGACGAGGTAAAGCTCGAGTCAATCTCTTCCGGCACAAGCACGAAATCGAGTCAGGGCGAACCAGTTCGGTTGGTATGGAGATCATGGGCTTTGACACCATGGGCAAGGTCGTCACCTCTGACACTCCTGGGCGTATGTTTCAGTTACCGTTAGCTAATACAAATGGCCATACTGACATCCTGCAGGCAAGCTGTCTTGGGAGGAAATCGGCAAGAGGAGTGCAAAGGTTATCACCTTCACTGACTTGGCTGGCCACGAGAAGTATCTTCGAACGACAGTATTCGGACTGCTCTCAAGCAGTCCAAACTATTGTCTTCTTATGGTGGCGGCGAACAACGGTCTTATTGGCATGAGCAAAGAGCACCTGGGTATTGCTCTGGCTCTTAACGTTCCTGTTATGGTTGTCGTCACCAAGATCGATATCTGCCCTCCCAACATTTTGGAGCAGACCTTGACGCAGATCACCAAGATCATGAAGAGTCCTGGAGCTCGAAAGATACCAACTTTCATCAAGACTCGCGAGGAATGTATCAACACAGCGACTCAGTTCGTCAGTCAGCGGATATGCCCTGTCTTCCTCGTCTCCAACGTCACAGGGGAGAATCTCGACCTGGTCAGGACGTTCTTGAACATTCTCCCCCATCACGGACGTTACAACTCCGATGCCCCATTCGAGTTCCACGTCAATGACACGTTCTCGGTACCTTTCACAGGTACAGTCGTGTCTGGCATCATTAAGTCTGGTGTCATTCATGAAGGCGACAACGTTCTCATCGGGCCTGATTCTTTGGGACAGTTCACGCCAACCTCTGTCAAGTCAATTGAACGCAAGAGGATACGAGTTCCCGCTGCATCGGCTGGACAGTCTGCTTCTTTCGCTTTGAAGAAGGTCAAGCGCAAGGATGTGCGCAAGGGCATGGTGCTTCTTCCCCGGATCGAAGGCCAGGTGATGCCAAAGGTGCATCGTGAGTTTGTTGCAGAGGGTAAGTGTCTACATTAAGGCTTCAAGCAATCAAACTAACGTTGCCAGTCCTTATTCTCTCTCACGCCACTACCATCAAAACCAAGTACCAGGCCATGCTTCACGTTGGCCCTGTTTCCCAAACGTGTGCCATCATCGACATTGACCGAGCGCTCATTCGCACAGGAGACCGCGCAACTGTCGCGTTCCGCTTCGTTCAACGCCCTGAGTACCTTGCACCAGGTGACAGGCTCCTGTTCCGTGAGGGTCGCACCAAGGGACTTGGTATTGTCAAGTCTGTTGGATACGACCCAAATCATCCATTGATGCCTAGCAAGGATGGAGAGAAGGAGAAGCAGCCCGTTAACTCCGAGGTCAAAGTAGGTGCTTGATGCGCTTGTGGGAAATCGCCAAAAGGCTAGATGCCTACGGCTGTCACGATACCATGTAAGGACAAGGATATGGCGTTTTGCTGTTGTTTTAAGATTATTGAGTAGTCCAGCTGGTCTCCATATGCTGTTGGATCTGTCTCTCATTACTGTAGCGTTTGTTCAAATACATAATATTGTCTTGTGAATCGGCTACTAGTATACCTGAATACCTGCTATCAAAGGTTGTCTGTCTTGCGAGGGCATTGAACCTCCATTGCCACGACAGGCATCGAATACCCGCCTTGGAAACTTGACCAACTCCTGAATAACTGCTACATGCCCACAATTCCTCTCCAGATAGATACAGACTGCCAGCCCCTCGACTACCGATCTTCTCTGCATCCACCACGAGCTGTGTGCCGCTGCTTTGGTATACCACCATGCCAGCAGCACCATGGCCTTGGGGTCTTTCTCCTCCAGTAGCTTCCTATATCTCGGGTCCAGTTGCGTTAAGAAAGTGAGAAACTGGATCACTGTATTATCGTCGATCTTTCGGGGGAGTAACTGTGCGAGCAACGACGTAGCGACATGATATGGGTTATTTACAACTGTAGAAGACGGCCCAATGTCGAATGCGTCGTAGAATATACTCGGAAGGGCGTCGGGCGGAATAGCCTTAGATCCATCAGGCAGGCCATCCCGCTCCTTGAGCAACTGGTGGAAAATACTATCCTTTCTCGTCGGATCAGCAATATTCCATACGACTTTCTTCCCATCGCTCATTCTCAACCAGTCAAGATCAAGAGAGTCGGATTTCTTGAGCGGCCATACTCCATACACGTCTTCAGCATCTAAAAGAGCCATTGAAGCTGCGCCGAGGAGTGCTCCTGAAGCCCAGAGGGAATCACGTTCAGAGCCCGAGAGTTTCGACGGGTCGGGGGCTGAACCTGCTGCCATGAGACGGCGGTGGAAGAGGGCTGTCGCTTGATACCAGTGGAAGGCGAGGGCTGTACGGTGAGAGGATGTTTGGCAGGGGTTTAGATGCTGATCATGAAGAAGAGCCAGAGCAACAAAGACATGCATGAGAAAAGGGTGCTACAAAAGTCAGCCTCAAAGATTACAAAAGCTTTGTGAGTATTTACCTTTAACCCTAGCAGAAACGCCCCCTCGCTATAAACACTTCTCGTCCTCTGGGTTCCAACAGAGAACACCGTCCTTAGTCTGAACCTCTCAATGGCCGCCAGGGCAGCGTCGTCTAGCACAATCTCACCGACACCGCCCTTTACAGGCTGGATGACGGGGACTCTGAAACCAGGGTTGATAGGACCCAGAGACTTATCGACCACTGAGAAGACTGGTCCTGCGCTCTGGTGGGCGAGTTGAAAGGATGAGGGGGATGTTTGAGTGAATGAGCAGACGAAGCCTGATGAGGTACAGCGTTTACATGATGGTTTTGATTCATCGCACTGGGAGATGTTAGTTAGTGCTGAGGTGAAGCGAAGCGTATGACTGAGATATGGGGTTGGTGGTCAAGAGTTACAGCGGTCAGCTCACCTTTACACTTCTCAGTTTACAGTTCTTACATCCGAGGCGAGACTTCTTGTGAGCTTTCCGCTGTCTCACTGGCGTCTCTTTATCAGTCTTGTCTTCACCTCTGACAGCCATTGTGTCCTGTACCATGAGAGTGAACTGATTAGTCAAGGTGAATCTCGCCGGAGTTACCGGAAAGGGAATCGCTTACTTGAGACAGGGCAACTTGATACTGGAGACTTGTTTGTGATGTTTTGATAGGAAGCTGCTGAATGAGTGAGTACTCCTCAGGTAGATTGCCAAGAGATGTTAGTTGACGATAAGAGGTCTTATCGCCTGGGCGGCGTGTCTCGATTTAGCGCTTACGAACCGGGGTTTTCGTGACATCACCAATAAGCGGAATGGACCCTGAACATCACGGCTGGACCCTTTAACGATCTTCATAACGTCTTCTAACAACTGTCTATTTTTATCCAAACAAGGTGCATATTCAACTCGCTTATCTGAGGTGGAACGGACCAAACGGTAACGCAAAAACCCGTATCGGGCTAAATATATTGATAGTGTCAAGGAAACGATGTGGTATCGATACGTGGGTATGCGTTCTTCCGGCGCATGTGTCCTACCCCAAAATTCAAGGTATATCCTCCCCCCCTTCGCTTAAATGAATCATGAGTAGCTGACTTGCATGCCATCCTTTTCCTCTTTGTAAACGCCTGGCCCTTGTTGGAAAACTTGTAGCAAGATGTAACGCCATCGAGACCTCGTCCATACCGACCATGCCAAATGCAACCCATATGTTTGATTGTTACAACCTTTAGACAAAATAAACAGAGAAAATGACATAAATATCGTAAACGGCGTAGACGCCAGTATGTACTGCTGACACGCTCGAAGTGAGCATGCCTTTGTGAGGTATACCTCTCCTCTCCTATCATATCCAAACACAAACGGCCAGTGCTCTTCACACTGCTCGTCCAGCTCGGGCGCGGAGAGCATTCATATCGAGTTGAATGGTGGGGCGAGAAATCTCTAGACTTCGACTGGGCATCCTTCGACCTCCAGGGGTTCGAGGATTGGCGACATTAACACGCCCAGTACGGTCCAGAATTCTGGGTGGAGAATCATCAGGGTCCGACTCTGAATCCTCATGTCCCTCATAGCCTGCATCGGCCAATCGTGCAAAGTAATCAGCCAAGCCGTCGACACTAGGAGTTCCCACCACAACATCGTACTGGGGTGGAGGAGTCATCATAGGTTCAGGTACATCTGTGACAAGCTCGGCAGCGGGAGGTGGTGCGATATCGTCTTCGAAAGCAGGAGGGTTGAAGCTTGGAACTCTGAGCAGATGAATCGGGCGTGGTTCTTGTTGTCCACTGACACCGTCGGCCAGATGGGCAGCCTGTGGTGGCGCCGGGAGGTTCTCGGCGTTAGGGTTGACACCGGGTAGTGAACCTTCTGAAGAACTAGGTGAAGCATCGGTAGGAACGGTGAAAGCATCAGGGCATCCACAAGTAGACTGATAAGTGGTGCCGTTGCAGTTGGCGCCTGAATAAGCAGGAAGGTTAGTATTGGCGTGAGTGGCACGGCAATTGAGAACAGTGAATGGCGAATCAATGCTGATCTCAAAGTGTCGGCGCTTTGTACCACTGGGATCCTCAGGATCAATACGGCTGATTCGCATAACAACCTTTGAAACGGTTAGTTACTAACTCAAAACTCATCATTAATAAACATACCTTGATCCAATGGAAGACATTGACATTCTTCCAGCTGCAGTCAGGGTTGAGTCGTAGCTCCTTGTTCTTGGCCATCATCTCACAAGTAGGAATCTGCACATTGGCTTCGATTTCTGTTGAACCCCAGATGGTCTCGAGTCCCAGATCCAGGTCACCCAGGAGGTTAGCCGAAGGCTCAGGAAGGGGCTCGGCCGTGGTCTGTCGTCGGGCAGCTTCTTGTGCGCGTCTTCGAGCAGCTGCTTCACGAGCCTCTCGTCGCTGCTCAGGGTCGAGTTCGCCACCGCGAAGGGTTCGGATTTCAGATGAAGCGTAGGACGAATCGAGAGGCTTTCCAGCAGACTTCTCGAGTAGCAAGATCTTGCGGCCTGGATCTTTACGTGTTACTCGCTTATCATTGGTCCAGTACTCAATCGATTCTGTTACATAAACCTTGAGCTTGTGCACTTGAACCTTTGCAAGTGGTGTAAGCTTAAAGGCAATGGGGATTTTGCTACCAATAGGAAAGCTCTTGCCCGAGATGACAATGTCATAGTGCAATTGGTCTTCCCACTGGCGGCTAATAGAAATAGGTTCCGTCATCTCAAGGGAGAGTTGATCAGGCACACGAACAATAGACACTTCCTTGGTGCCGTGAAGGTTAGGCTTGAAGGCTCCAGCTCGGTCAACGGTCGCATGCAATTCCCACTTAACGGATCCATACTGCAGCTTGGTTGTTTCTAGCTGGTGGTGATCGATGGGTAGTTCAAAAGTATAGTCATAAGTACCAGGGTAGAAGACCTTGTATCCCTTGGCTTGTGTAGGAGTGGCAATAGGACTGTCGCCCTTTTGGAAACTTCGCGACTGGACGCTTTGCAGAGATAAGCGCTTGATTTCTTTAGCAGAAAGGTTATTTTGATGCGGGGTCAGAGATGATGATGGATTTGGGCGGACGAGGTTTGTAGAGCTGCCGTTAGGAGAACTGCTCTTAAGGCGATAAGTGCATTGGTTGCCATAGTCGGATTCCCAGCCGTCATTCATGGCATTGAAAAATGTCAGTACTTGAGTGCGCAGACTCTCCTCCTCGAACACATCTTGCTTGAGAGGAGGAATGCCTTCGGGCCACTCAGTGCGAGCACGGCCAAGAAGTTTGAGTTGAACGGCTTTGATCTTGACGTTTTTTGTGACTCGCAATTGAAGTTTGCCTCTTAATAGAGCGGTACCACTCTGACCCTCGCGGTGGCCATGGCCATCATGATCAAAACCTGAGAGGAAAATGTTTGGCTCAGCGAGAAGAATTGAGCATGACACGCCACTGCCGGAAGCGACGGGTTTCGGCAACTCAGAGACTGAAGTGACAGCGGATTTTGATGAACGAGCCGACATAAAACTGTTGCGATTAGGGTTGGTCAACGCCAACGACGGATGCGAAGATCGTGCAGTCGCCATTGTTGCGGCGGCGGCTGTTTGTGTTTGGTTGTTGTTGCTGGTGTTGCAATTGACAGAATTGGAGTTGTTGGTAACAGGCGTTACAGTGGATGCAGAGGCTAAGTCAACAGGTGCCGCGGAACCGGGGCGTGAGCTTATGTCGTCATATGCTGGCGGGGATGCACCTGCCCCAGTAAATCTCGACCCAATCGCAGACTCGCCGGGAAGGTCCAGGTCCAATTGGCAAGACTGACCAATTGAGTGGCCTGTATTCGAGGTCCTTGTACTTGGTCTTGCTGTACTCGAAATAGCGCTCACACTTTGCCGAGTTGAGCGGTCAATACCTGCACTTGTCGATAGCGCTTCGGCTGCTGCAAGACCCGAAGTATCAATGCCTGCAGATACTGAGTTTGATGCTGATGAAGGTTCAGAACCAGACTCAGGGTTTGTAAAGGCAAATGAGCTCAGGAGCTTATCTCTGCGGCGTACGGCGGCACGAGGTTTGAAGCTTTTCTTTCTCTGGCTACTGCTTACACTGTTGCTGAGGTAATCGCTGGTGCTGTTGCTCGCGTTGGACGTGTTAGTAGGAGTCGGTTGCAATGAAGGTGCGCGTCGAGGCTCGACAAGCAGTTCAGGTGTTTGAGGTCTGCTCTCTGCTCGTAGTTCTCGAGGAACGTATCCCGAGGGATAGCTAACAATGTGAATTGCTTGGGGGCGAGATCTTCGAGGACCGATTAACGGCGCAGGAAATCGACCAGCTGATACAGACTTTTTCTTGTTGAGACGAGGTCGATAGTAGATGTTTTCGTGAGAAGGAACCCAAGCGGATCGACGCTGTGGTGATTCAGGGACCGAAGCTGTTGTTGTCATGGTGGTTAACAACTGTACTGTACTGCACTGCAACGGTTTTCTGTCTAAACGATGACGAGGCCAATAAAGCCAAGAGAAAATGCGGGTGGTGCCAGCCAAGGAGCGAGAATTAAGAATGCAACGCAAAAAAAAGTAGTGGGTGTAAAAGGATGATGTAGGCAAGCGCAGGCGCAGGAAGTGGAGGTATGTGCTCAGATGCTTTCAAAACAAAGAGCAGTGAAAGACGTAGACACACGCAGAATAGCAATCTGTGAGTCCAGCACGCGCGTGAGGGAGGGCAAGGCTGGTTATAATCCAAGAACAAGACAATAGCTCGAATGTGAATGTGAACATGTGAGCGGGACCATACCAGGTCTAATAGATCCAGGGCGTTATATTGGAGACGAGACGAGGGTGATGGATTAGAATGGAATACAAGGGAGGGGCCAACTAAAGATGAGCACGAGTAAATAAAAACGAGACGGTGTGTTGCAGTGTTGCAGCGGTGATGAGATGGGTCTGGTCTGGCCCGGCATCAAAAAAGAAAGAAAAGCACAGGACAGTAAAACGGCAGTGCTCATCAATTCCCCAAGTAAATAAATTCAAGCGCTGGCATTGGATCCTGAAGTTGTCATCAATGTCCTAGGCTGGCATCCCGCCCAGATTTGGGCACTAGACTCTGAGCCTAGAGGCGTCAAGGGACCAGGATCAGGAAGGGTCACGCCTTGTTCTGGCGGGCGGTTGGCCGCAGGCAGTGGGGATGATGGTGATGCGCAAGGACATGGACAAGGAACAAGAAGAGGGTGGAGAAACAGGGCAGAGGATTACGGGACTGGGGATGGGACTCAAAGGCAGGAGTTGGTTTGTATTGTTGGCGTTGTATTGTGCAGAACATCTTATGAATGGCTGTGAGGAATGCACATATCAAAAGGCAGAAGAACTAGCGGTGATGGTGGAGAGCGATGTACAGCAAAGAGACGATAAAGAAAACAGACACAACACAATATCCTGCTTTTCTGACAGGTGATCGACATTGTTGCAGTTGCAGTATCGATGCAAGATTGTCTGAGATTGATCCTATCCGCTTTCATCCCACTTGGAACTGAGTACATGATTCAATATCAAGGTTATCGATGAATCAAGTAAAAGACAAAAGAGGGCGTGTGACTGAAGATCAAGGAATAAAGAGAAAAAAGACAACGATTGCATTGGATACGAATATTCAGACGAGAAACATAAAAATACGTACCTTTGCAATTGTGCTAAAACATGGAAATCCGAAACATCAGATTCAAGGGACTCGCTTGTGGCTAGTGCACCTGTAGCCTCTGACGCGAAGACACCGGCGGTGATGAGAATTGAGGCCCCGGCAACCCTGGTCTGGTCTCTCGCTTCTCCGTTTTTGTTTCTGTGTCGCCTGAGATTCTGGAGATTCTCAGCTCAGCTCAAACTCGACCTGACGATGGTGAGTTAACAAGTGCGGTCAAGGCGGCTGAGGCGGAGGAGAACAATGACACGGCGGGGAACAAGAAGAATAGGACCCTTAATAAAATAAAATAAGAATAAGAAAGAAATCGTTAGGCGCCAACACCAATGCCAAACGGATGAGAAGCACGGTTCACTTGAGGCTGTTGGGCTGAAGTTTGAGACCGGCCAGAGCGAAATAGACAAGCGAGGAGCTGGCCAAATCTGGGCTGGTTGAACGGGAAATGAGACGAAAAGTATAGAAAAGTTGGTCGTCGGACAAAAAGCAGGAATCCAAGCAAGAAGTAAATTAAGTTAATACGTACGAGTCGAGGTATGTAACAGGAACAACCAAGGTAACGGACGAGTCAACTTAGGATCTGACAAGGAACAGGAACTGAGGTGACCCAAAAGGGCGACAGCTGTCCCAGACAGGGTTTCTTGTACCGCTCGAACAAGACACTGCACTAAAAAGATCTTGGTGGTGATGATGACGATGCAGTCATAGCAGACAGAGACAGAGACAGAAGAGCACAGATGGGGGCGGCAAGAATATGTGAGAAGAACAAGAGAGAGAGGCGTTATCTACGAGCCATGTTGTCTGAGTGAGTCTGACCTTGGGGTATTATATTGCCGTCGAATTGAGGTCATACCATGGAATCTAAGCCACCCTTCCGAGGAAAACACTCAGTCAAGCTCCCCGTGCTATCCGGGGAGCAGTAAAAAAAAGCTTCATCAATGCCTCTCGCTATCGTTGAGAGAATAACTTAACGAGGGAGCTCCGGAGGCTGCGGAGCCAAACCCCGTACGATTGAATGGGGCTCGCTACTTTCGGTGACGCGGCACCAGGCGAAACCCTGTCTTTAGATTCAAAGACTTTACTCTTTGGAGATGCAGTTAGAGTAAGGGTCTTTGTTTAAGCCCCGAAAACGGACTACGTAATGTCTGCTGCGGCCGTGACATGGCATGTGCCGTGTGTATAAACTCATGCCATCACCATATCTTAGTCTGACTGTGACAATCTCCGCTTTGTAAGATGTTCGCACTGAGAAGAGGTAAAGACTTCAAAAACTAGACAAGAGAGGAATATTCGATGATTGATCAACACCAACAAAGTGTGAAAAGGTGGCCGTCCCGGTCCCGAAAAGAAGAACGACTCCACTAAAAAAAAATATCCCAAGATCTTAGGGTCTATCCATCTGGGGAGAGATGACATAACGAAAGGTCAGCATGTTGCATATTACATATTGCAGATGAAGTTCTGTACTTTTCACTTTGACAAGAGTTGTAATCTGTGGGCTCGGGCTTCACTTTAGCTCATTCCAGTACGAAGGTCTCATTCCGAGGAACAAACTCATGATGTTAACACTAAGGCAACTAAGCTCAACCCAATCCGAGGATTTTCTCTCATCGAAAAGAAGAAGAAAAAACCTCAAAGTTTCCAGGGTATTCACCAGGATCATGCATCTTTCTTCTCAAAGCCAGTTGATCGCTGGGTCTGGTAAGGCTCTTTGCAAAGGCAACGAGTGGACAGATACATGGGCTGGCTATGTGGAGTGGCGATAGATGCACAAATCATCCGTCATTCATAGCAAGGATTCTCTTCTTTTCTTCTTCTTTTTCTTTTTTCGGTTACATGAAATGCCGAACTTGATCCATGATGCCGACAACTATCCTGCCCGGCTTGTCTTTGCCGAGGCGATACTTGCGAGTTTTATGCACAGCTGAATGAGGCTCGATATCTCGCCCTACTTCTAGCTTACTTGTCCATATGATATGATTTCAGTGCATCTTGGGAATATCATCGGAGGTAACTCCGTAGAATAAGGCTTACTTGCAACCGTTTCATTTCCGGTTATCCTATATACATACAACTAACAAGTCCAATCACAAACCGTGCACATGATGAATATTATACTTCTATCTCTATCCAAAGCGAACGGTTTCTCGTCAATGAACAGACCTTGTTTCAGCGCCGCCTTGAAGAGCCTAGTTTCGTGTCAAATTTCTTGGTCATAAAGACCCTTGCTCATGAGGCTCGTGCATTCAATGGTGAGGCAGTGGTTCCAGTTTGAAGACCAGGCCATTAACGCTTAGATTAATTTAAACATGGCCTAGAAACAGAAGCTCTTGCGATTCAGTAAACGATAAACCGTGAATTTGCGCTCGGGAGTTGTAACGGTCCACAGAGAGCCCAGGCTTGCCAACTCAGCGCTGATCGTCAACTCTAAAAGATTCCTTGGATGTGACGCTCTACAAGCCTTATCTAGGCTTTCTTTTTCGTAAACATCAACACGCGTCGTCCTGACAGCGGTGAGTTGTCACCTTTCAGCTGGAAGCATCTTCCCTGTAACCAATTGCCACTTTATTGAAAAGGCCTTGGTTGTGTGCGTCCATGCTTCATGTTTGTTTAATAGAAGGCTGATAGAAGCCTTCTAGTCTCGTTTCCTCAGTCGCTCCAATCTCGGGCAAGGCCGTGAATAGAGCTTGGACCATCAAGCCTCGATCCTGAAGACCGGGGTACCCGGTCCTTGGGCAGGGGACCCAGGATCAACAACTTATGAGGTCATTCTTCTCTTTTTAATGGATTTTGAACGTTGTGGGATTTCAAACTTTAAAGTTTCAACTCCAGGTATTTTATTGTGGTTTTGTGGATAACGTTATCACAATTACTCTACATCTGCGTCGAGATCGAACTGGGGAGAATCTCTGTATGACTTTTTGTTACGACTCAGTGCCCTATAATGCTGCCCTATAATGCTGTGGTCCGGTGACTTTCTCCACGATGAGGTTCTAGGATCATCGCTATTGAAGGTTCTCTGTGTATCTTGCGGGAATTATTATGTGAAACCAGCGGCTCTTTACAATCAAGCATACTACGTACACCAACAAACATCTGCAGATGTCATGCAAACGATAATCCTTTGTCCTGACTCGAGACTGCTAGATCATATCAAATCGAGGTAGATCCAGCTATCTAAGACGGCATTGATCTTCATTTACGATCCAAAGCCTTGGTTTTCAGATCCACGGTGACAAAGCGTTGAAGATATCTGATGTTTATCACCTGAGGACCGAAAATTTAAGCGAACGGTAGCCGATCAAGGTCTGTAAAAATTGTCCTCCAAAAATAGTCACTTGATAGCAGATCTCAAATCGTAGAATCCCGTCTTGGCGACGTCAAATCGAGGAATTTGCCTCACCAAAAGACGGGCAGTAAGTAGCACGAGCAACTAACGAACCGAACAGCCGAACACTTTTCTCTGCCCGCGTAATTCCCAGTGACTACACCAATCTTCAAGTGCTTATCCTGCATGTCAATCCTCCGAGGTGACGAAATGCTCATCTTCACCCACCACGATTGGTTCGAATGGTTTCTCAAACCCTCATGAAATCATGCTGATCGAGACCCTGACGGTTCGCCCGACAGTAGTCGATCACTAGACCTTCTCCTGGTTTCTCCAAATCAATCGCATGATTTCAAATTTTCTCAAGGGAAGATAAACCAAAAAGTGACATGCTTATACGCTATGCGAGTCTACATGAATCAGTCTGCATTGACATGACCATTGCGTATGACCTCTCCGCGAAACGCGGGGGGTATTTAGTTGCGACGGCGTTAAGTGCGGTCAGCATCCGACTGGCACTCTACTATGCACAGTAACAGTTTAGGGTGGCACTACAGCCAGGAGGATGCATCCCGTTTCCCTCGGAAATGCCAAGATGAACATGTCTCGTGAGGACTCTGTAAACGATCAGGACGTAAAGCTTAGCAGAAGCTGCAGCGTTGCATCTTGGTGTAAATGGCTCATCTTTGGCAATAATTGAGCGCTTGAGTAGCGTATTCAATGTCAATACGCCAAAGCTAAAGATGCCGAACGATCTCCAAATCACATGTGATCAGTACAATGATTATTTTGAGGTTATACGATACTCGTCGTTGCGGTTGATGCATTTGTAATGGAAGTAGTGGCTATCTATGCTACAACCATTACAATGTCTACCCTTAAACCTTTTCTTGGCCACGTACTGGCTCTCGAGCCAACAAATTAACAAAAGATCTATTATTGTCTATATACTTGTGAGTTTTCCGCGTCCAAGTCTGCCATGAATGTAAATACATGCATCACCGCATTAGTGTTACCCGTTACTGCTCGACGAATCCGTGGATGCTCGATAACGAAATTTACCGTAGAACACCAAGTCATTCATAAAGTCGACGCTGAGAATGTGTATTCGCTAGAAGAAGATGCTAGCTGGTATAATGAGTTGTTGCAAAGCGTTCATATATAATACCAACGAACCCCAGCTGCATATGCTTATAATAATCAACTTTTCCCAAAATTTCATCAAGTTCCAATTCACCGAGTCCCAGAAGCCGGTCCTTGTTCTTGCAATGAAGGCACAAGTACGCCGAATGTATGAGCCAGTAAGCTTAGCTTTTCCGCCAACGAGGCCACGTATTCGTCTGCCAGCCATGTGATACTAGGACTTGCATCTTTTTTGTATAGTCTCTCCACTAATAATGTGAGCGAACCATCAATATTAACTATAAAGTCGGTGTAACTCACGATCATGTGCAACATCGATGAAGTCATCAAGCCCTATTATCGCATCCCGTTCGAACTCGTGTTCAAGTTCAATCTCTGGCATGCACACGCCCGAATGTATTGCCCAGTAGTTGAAATCCGACTTTTGTTTTATGATAACTTCTCTCTTGGGCATGTGCAAAGGACCTTCGCCATTCTCTAGATAGTTGGAGAGGATGTCGTTGTAGGCTTCGATGATGGCTTCGATTTGTGAGAGGTGACCCATGGTGCTGATATGGGTTTGGTCACGTTGATGATTAAAATAAGGGAATGAAGATTCAAGTCTCGAGAACACGATCTAGCCTTGACGGTAGATCTCTCTCTGTACTTAGAACTGTTCTATACCGGTGCTGCTGATCGAATGCCGTTCGTTAGAGATGATGCTCAATGATGGTTGGACCTTGGCCATTCTCTATGAGCGATAGGAGTCGTGACTGACTTCGACCCAACAACACTGTCAGAAACGGAAGCAACAGACTACGAAACATAAGGCTCCTAACTTCCAGTTCTAAGGCCATGATCACTTCGAGGCAGGATCAAATGGAGTTCAGTGTTTACCTTCCTCTCAGAATATACCTGCACATCAAGCCTACATTAACTTACAACATATCTGCACTTTACATTATTACGAACAACAAGTACATCAACAGTACGCATCTGCATTAAGCCATTTCGTTATACTTATCAATCGAGTTACTACTACAAAAACTATCTGTCGTCGATATGTCAGGTCGACACCTCCGTACTGTACGACACAGCGATTTTCTTCGCGTATCATCTATCGCGTTATCCGTTCGCCTCTGTCTTAAAAAAACATGGACCTCCCTGAAGTAAAGTCGGCGTCAAGAAATAGAGACGCATATTACCCTGACTGGGAAACTATCGAGATAATGGAGGTGGTCTTCATGAACTGGGTAAAAAGCTATAGGACTATCCCTGAAGGTGGCGAGCTGTTTCCGCCGAGAGCTATACCGCGCCGCATCCCCAGGGCCCACACCACCCATTTTCGACATGCAGAACTATTGAGGAAATCGACTGCAGCAAGTGGCCGTCCAGTATGCTTGGAGTCTGTACGTCGCGCCGTTGAGGACCGTATGTAATGATCAGTCATGGAAGTTTGGGCAGGGCTAACACTCAGCGTTCAGTCCACGAGGCACTTCTGCACAAGACTGGAAATCACTTTCACTTTTTGCACATAGCCATCGAAATGATTGAGGAGATGTACCACTGCGGCAAGTAATCCTCGCATTGCATTGGGTAACTGCCTGGCTAACATATATACTAGGGGTACTGATTAGGGATAGAAAGCTGACAGCCAAAAGACAGATTACTCACCTGCCAAATTCAGAGCGCGAGGATAAAATGGTTTAATGGACGCAGAGAAAGTATTTTTTTCAAGTTTCAAAGGTTTATTGTAAGGCCTTTAGGTTGTCTTTTTGGTGCCTATCTGCGTTCTTTGGGATTTTCCACAAGCGCATCCAACCTTTTCAAAGTTCAGTCTTTTAAATAGCCAATTCTCATACCCAGTCGCTATAAATTCCCCTTTGGGCTTGGTGAGAGGCTCCTGATGATTGTATGTGTAGTATTCATCTGCTAAGGTAAGAGATGGAGAGTGTCCGTAGCATCCATTCTGAAGTATTGGGGTCCTACCACAACGGGGTTGATATAAAAACGTCCAAAAATAGACATTAAAGATCTCCCAGTCACAGGTTCCATTCCGGCTTGGGCATCTGTAAAACCACCTTATTGCCCACAGTTGTCACTTTATATATCTCGAGGGCCGCTGTTTGTATTGAGTGAAAGTAATAACCAAGCTAGCAATACAACACAGAGCAGAGAGGGTAATAAAGAGTTGTCTATGCTAAATATAGAAATTGATGTAGTCAAGAAAAAATGCCTCGATCTTGTCAATAGTCTTCTTAAGACCGCCTCGAAAGACCGGTCAAGCTCCTCTCAACGCTACTTGCATTACTCTGCGCCCCCGATGCCGTGCGTACGCCAGGGCCATCACTATAATCCTGCTTAACTATCCAATAATGTCAGCACCACTCAATTGTAGCATACGGTCGGGTACTTACGCAGCTGGATTTGGGAGTTCAGGGTGGAAAGTGTTAGCTTGATCGCAGATCGTTTGACGGCATGTTCGTTAGGATAGCTCGGAGTAGAACTGGAAATCCTTGAGTCGAGTTTCATACCGTGATCTCGGACCCAAGAGTTGAAGTCCTGTCGAAAGGACTGTAGTTTGGAGGCTTCAGGCCAGCCTGCGAGGTTGCCGCGCTTGTTGGCTTCGTACATGAGTTCGACGAAGCTTGAGGAGACATCACTCATTTGCAGGGAAAAGCTTTCTAGAGCCATTTCTAGATTTAGTAGAGGGTTTGTAGTATTTTAATGAGTATATGTTGAGTAGACTGCGAGATTTGGATAGTAATGTGTAGTTGGTGGAAAACAAAGCGTGACTGCAGGGCTCTTTATATACTCGGAAGAGCATATCTGCTTCATGAATGATATGAAACGGGGTAAGTAATTCATTAGTATTGTTGATTGAGTCCGTTAGATTGCTGCCAGGTCTTGCAAATGCTCGAGTGTCACTCCTGTCTTCATGATAGGAGGGAGCTTGAGAGCAAGTGACCAGACGACTCTACCTTGCAAATGAAGTGGGATTAAGCTTAGCAGGTATTCTCTTACAAGCGGGGAGCATGACTGTAATATCTAGATTCTATGATCTTGGAGAGATGGTACGGTATTAACTTCAGCTCTGACAAAGCATTGGTGAGTCAGCCCACAAACAGTTTGTTGGCTTGAGGTCTTGTTTCCATACCCAAACAATGCTATAACTTCATCACAGCCTCAAAAGTGAATCACGATTCAGTTTTAGTCCTTGCCAACCACTGCACTGCAGGTAAGAAACTATTCGCTAACATATAGGGCAAGTTTGGAGACATACCACCAAACCACTATCATTGCAGCCACGGAACCAGTGCTTAAGATTGTCTCTGGGTAAGGAATCTTCATCAAGCAGATGATCAGCCAATTGTATTACGATTCATACAGTCTTACATCGCATGACCGACAACTTGTAATCTCCACTACGTTGGAACGAATCTCGACCCTCAGAAGACATATCCAACAATCAGTGACCTCCAGTACACCACCTCACTCATGCAGTCTCAGCATATTACACAAACAGGTTCCCTCTTAGTGCAATTTAGACACTCGTTGAACGCCACCGAGTTCTCAAGAGATAAAATTGGTAGCAGCAGGACCATGAGTGTCCCCTCCAAGCTTTACAAGCACACATTCATGTGTGATATGGCACAGAAAGTTTGTCTCTTTGGAGAAATAAGAGCTACCCGTGTGTAAGTTTTTCAATCCCAGGAGCTTTTTGAGTCTGCTTCGTCAGATTCCATCTCTCCGGAGCCTTCAACCACAGTATAACGTGCCACACATTGGAAATTTTACCTGCTGGATTTTGAGCTATGTTCGCGGACTTGCGTTTCCGTCTGAAGTATTCAAGTTAAAGTAGCCGTACTGGTCAGTAAGTTACTCCAAGTTTTATTCCAACCTCGAGTGATTCGGCGTCCCACTACAAGGCTGGTGTCTATCTTGTCGCTGCCAAAGCTATATGTAATCTCATAGCCCACGACTAGCTGCCTCACTGAGATATGAGCAGGTTAGTCGACATTTAAAGAGCCCTCTGAGAATTTCCACCGAAGATACTGACCAGGTTCTGAGGCTCTTCCAATTCTTCTCGAAATTGAAGCGATTAAAGGGTTTAGGGTCAGCTGGAAGCCCAGGAAGGTCATGGATAGCCTCTAGTGTTCCAAGAGCACAAGCACAGAGAAACATATTGGCGATCTCAAATTAACGATAGTGGTGGTAAATTATGAGTCTTGGTTCAGTCAAGTATTAGAGTCACTATAATTAAGGTATTGACTGATCTGTAGATAATATTGAGAGTGTAAAAACAATTCCTCGACAGAAACATTTCACTCCACTTCAAGTCACACATCTAAGCAGTATAAAAAAAAGAGAGCTTCGATTTCGAGAGTAACTTCAATGAGTTCTAATCTCGTTTCTAGACCAACAAGGGCATAACATGGTTCTCGAGCTTTTCATGTCTCTCCAAATTTGAGATATGTGGTCAGCGAAGGTTAGCCAACCCAGCCAATAGGAAGATTTAGCCACCAAGCGATATTCCATATCGGGAAACACACTACGTTACTGGATCCGACGAACGTTGTTACATTGCATCTTGAGTCTCAGGTGATATTAATCAAGGTAAGGCTGAAAAGGCATGCGAGATATCTGAGCTTATTCGAGCCTCATATGTGTTTCTAATATGTTCGTGCCGGTGTAAAAGAAAAGGATCGTTCATTGAGGTCCGACTTTGGCACAGCATACAAGAACCTTGTGACTAGTTGTAGCTTGTATTCTTTGGAACTCCCAAAGGATAATGACGATGAATAGTCACTTTCATTCGGGGTATCTTAAACAGTTTACGGAGCCGCCGTGGGTAATGCTTCAAACAATTTGACATTGATGTCATACAGGCACAGGCTATACTGGACCCCCTACACAAACGCCTCATAAACGATAATGACTGTTTCGCTCCAATGGGTCCCCATAAATACATATACGGTTATGGCCTTCGCTCGTTCATTTCGCTGATTATGCCAACTCTTACCCCAATATCCAATCCCATTAATCGCTCGTCAAATAAGTACACTTAGACACCCATTTGCCAGAATTTAGACCATAACCGGTTCGACAGATGACATGGGCATATGTGAGATGGTCGTTGGGATCATGTACGGTCCCAGTGCCGAAGACAAGATGCTAGCAATGTTGCGAGCCATATCCGACTTCTTGCCCAGGCACCAAAGCGCCTTGGTGCAGTCCTCGCATCGGCGGACTAGGTTCATGACGCCAGGGGTCTCGGGTGGTGCGTGCTCATGTCGTACCTTCTCCTCCACTTCAGTAAGGAGCAGAATGGCCGCCTTAGTAAATGCCCTAATGAGTATCATGGTCCATGGCTCTGTTAGGATAGAACCCTCGACAACTGCAAAGTGCAGATCTGAGATACCCGTGCCAGGAACATCACCAGCTCGAGGGCGTGTCGAGACTCGTGCAAGGTCCGACAGAATAGCTGCACTGTCTCTTCGTAGTGAAACAACAACGTTGGCTGCTTGTCGCACTTGAGTCGAGTAATCTAGGCCCAGCTTGTTTTCATCCACAAGCTCAATCAGATCCGCAAGGAGAAGGGCAGCACAATGGAAATGAGCCACCACACATACGAACCAGCTCTGAATGAGTGTTGGAACACTGTCGTATTGCTCCACCAGATCCCTGAAGAAGGCACCGTAACTCACGTTCCAGTGCTTGTACACGGCCATGGCGTTCGAAATGACCTTTTCGACAGGCTCGCCTCGGTATCGACTTCTGACCGTGTTCTGCAGGTACGAGACGTGTCGGAAGAGAATGACCTTGATAGGAGCTGCAGTGACGACACCCTTGGATGCAGCATCGTACGAACAGGGCCACCGAAGAACACCCTCCTTGTTGTCGCGGACAAATAATTCAGCCCACCATCTGGCGTCCTGCGGTCGGTACTCGATGTTGTAGGACTCGTGTTCTGGATGGTCAGGATAAGTCGGGTCATGGTGGCACTCCTCATCTGAAACAACCACAGGCCGGCCGTTCATGGACGAAGACACAGTGTCGAACATGACTGTCATCCAGTAGACAAGACCAATAGTACCCTTGTCCTCCTCACTCAGAGACTCTGCAGATGTAGCCTTCTCCAAGCCTAGAGAACTTCCAGAGGCATCCAACACACCTGTCTCACGAGCCTCGTACTGAAACTTGAGAGCATGCATCTTCCTTGCAGCTCGCTCCATAAAGACTGGCGGTCCTTCTGCGGCAATGATCTCACTGAGCTGAGACGCAATCGATCCCTCACCCGAAGCGATGGGACTATCGCCAAAGTTGCCCATACCAAACGGCATATCGTTGTTGTCGTTATCCTCCTCGTCTCTCGGTTTCTGTGCCAGTCCCATAATCAAGTCAGCACAAACCACACGGAAGCATTCCATATCTGAGCAATCCTGCAATGCCCGCTTAGCCTGTGCCCAAAAAGTCCTCTGAAGTGTTCGGTCAAAGTCTTCGTTGATATCGTCAAACTCCGATCTCATGCTGTCCATTTGCGTCAAGTTCTGCGGGAACCTGTCTCGCTCACGTTGACTGCCTTGCGCCCATTGGGTAGCAAATGCCATAATAGCCAAATGCAGAGCCTTCGAAGCAGCTCGGTCCTCTGATTTACTGAGCCGGATCAGTTTCGTATTCTGTGCTTGCTTGTCGAGCTGAATAACACGCCGATAAATTCTGTTGTCTTGTTGTTTTGGCTGACCAACACTGAGCCCCTCGAAATGGGATGCCAGCCAACTCACACCGTTGTTGGACGGCCGAGTGATGGTATTGGGCTTATAAGGGCATGTCTCTTCCGACAACCAGCAAGACAGGGCGTGCTCCAAAACATCGTGGTATATCCTCATTAAGTTGTCCGAAATCAAGTTGTTGTTCGTCTTAGTCATCATATTGTGTGTCACTGAGAATGGCGAAATCGAGGTGCTGTAGCTTCTCGTTATACTTTCTGGGTAGTGGCGCACACTGAGAGACCGGGAAGAGATGTCGCTTTCGTATGAGTTGGAACCAGAAGGTGAAGGTTGGAACGGAACATCGCTGCCAACGGATTGGGTTTGAAAGAGGGGCCATCCATTGTCTCCATTTTCCTCCTCAGCAGTTTGATGTCGTGAATGCAGTCCTTGACCGGAAAGGTCTGTAGAAGGTGTAAGATCCATTGGGTGCGGGTGTGCTGGTGTAGAATGAGGTTCGAGACTCTGTAAGACGCTGTTATGAAGGCCAGCATCGAAAGCAGTCGGATCGAAGACGCCGTTCACAGGCATGGTATCGAAAGTTGTGTGAGGAAAGGCAGAGAAGTTGCCGAACCCAGTTGTATCCATTGGTCCCCAGCATGACAAGTCGTGTGCCGTCGGAGGTGCCTGTAACATATCTAGCAAGGCAGTTGCATTAACATCAAGCGTTTGGTTCGTTGGTAGAGGAGCTTGAGTCGGCGAAGGTCCTGGTTGCTGCTGTTGAGGGCGCGGACGTTGACGCTTGGCCTTTGCGCGCGATTGATCGGGAACGCGGCGTGGTGCGCCATTCTGAGCAGGTACTTCGTTGTTGATATTTGAGCTTGTGGCAGCAGGGCCAGTCTGTAGTTGAGCGCGAACCCAGTGAAATGTGCATTGTTTGCGAGTACGAAGGCAGTATGAACATCGTAGAGCTCTAGAATCAATCTCATCTGTGGTTTCATTGGCCCCTCGGTTAGCGTCGTCGAAGTCGGGAAAAAGGCGCGGGAGGGGGGAGGAGGAGGATTGAGGAGAGCAAACCAACTCACCAAGATGTTCCTCAGCAAGAGAGGTACCGCTGGTGCTGTCACCACCGGTTCGAAGCCTCTCTGAGTTTCTCTGAATATCCCATAGCGAAGGCGCATCGCATGCCCGCTTGGCTTTGCGACACTGGTCGCACGAACGGTTCTGGCGTCTCATTGTGAGTGAAGGCGAGTTAAAATGCGATGAGTGGCCGCGGGGGCCGGGGTCCGAAAGATCGGAGGTTTAGAGTCACGTCGCGACGAGTATATCCTGAAATAGGTGAACAAATAAATAGATATGGCAAAAGATTAAGCCAAAATGAAGAATATTTGCTGCAAGATGAATGTTGGTGGGAGGTTATGAGATTGAGATGAGACTGAGGTGGAAAGAAGCTTGGGGAATGGGCCCAAAAATGGACCTGCCCTGATGAATGAGATTTGCCGCGAAGCCCCGCGCTGATGCTGATGCTTGGGGCGTGCTGGACTGGGCTGGGATGGGGCTAGTTAGCACTGAAATCCAGCCCAGTCATCGGGGCCAAGGTCAAGCCGGGCAGTAGAACGGAACCCAACAGGACCAATCCAAGAGGAATGTACCAGCTGTAGCAGACAGTTCACTCCAGTGGAATGTGCTTTATAGCGGGCTGTCAACCCTCTGGAGCCACTAGAGTGCTGACCCAGTAGCATATCTTGTCCCTGGACAGGCCCTGAAGTGTTAAGGCCCAGGATATGATCCAAATTTCAGTGGCCAGGCTCCGCTTTTCCGAGCGAGGTTTTACTCTCCCCGCACAAGGCTAAGCCATTTAAGCACTAGATCGTTGAGAACGGCCATTCAGCCTAGGATCACCCTCGGATGCGAAAATGACACGGCACCTGCAGCAAGCAGCAGTCGCTCATTTCTTCAAGGAATTCTTCTAGAGTCAAGGCTTCCTGGTGAAAATCATTCCAACATGCCAAGGATATATCAGAATATTTCGTGGATATCTGTTTTCGCTGACTCGAAACCTTTGACTCGAGAGCAATAAACCCTGCCTCAACCTGCAACTATTCCCGTTTTCTGGGACTCATCACGAGTGCTAACCTCAACCAACCAAAAGTTCAGTGCATAGGAACTGTACCTACCTCCCGGGACCGTCGGAATAGGATCCGTCCTCACTCTTGAGTGCTCAATGCTCGAACACAACCAAAAAGGGCTGGAAGGATAACTCCGCCTTGGGGGATCTTCCAACCCATGGAGCTGATTTATTCCTCTTTGGGATCTAGTTGCTGCTCATTGTCCCAGTAGCCAAATTCATCTGGGCCCACTGGATTCAGCTAAAGAGAAAGGGGTGGGAGCCGAGACTTGACTTGATCTTTACGATGGCAAATGGCAAAGGACGTGTTAGCTCAAGATCGATCGGGAAGAAAGGGGAAACTTGGGAGTTGGCCATCTTGTACCCCATGCCAATATCGTCAACTCGGCGAGTTCTCCATCAGGGCCCTTTGTTCTCTACCCCCGGACCAACGACAGAGTTAAAGATATTTTACCAGGTTGTCACAAAGAAAAAGCAAAACAGCAAAAAGCAACAACCAACCTCTCTACTGTATGTAGACTCCCTGTCCATAGGCATAGCCATCCGTAAGGGGATTCGCTTTGCATGTCGCGTGCGCCTTGACAGCCAATCGCCAAGGTCTCTTAGCAACCCCCTGGTATGACCTAAACATTCGATAAGCCCCAACTAAACAGGGATCAACTTCTTCTTCGATCCCAGCAAAAAATGGAACTCTCCTCATCATTGCTTTCCATCGCTAAAACACTTCTTTGCAACATTGTGCATCCATAAACCCCCCAAACAAAAAGTCCAAGAGTGCTACGCTCCACACACCGGTTCCCCGACTCCTCTTTCAAGGTTCCAAAGAGTCTCCACGCCCGCTCGCCTATCGTGTAGCCCAGGCTCTATTACAGATCTTGGACGACAGTGCTGGACTTTGTTCAAGTTATGGTGCTTCAGCCGCGGTTTTCCGCTATAGTGGTTAAATTAGCGCAGTGATCCACTGTTAAATGGGGTCTTGTAGAGCCTCACCAACTTCAACTTCAATACCAGACGTCCTGAAAACCAACAACACAGGGAGTGAAATACATGATATTGACTCTGCACTTCCTTGGCCACATAATATCAGGCGTAGTTTAGGACCTCGGGCTTCGCTATGCTCAAGTACAAGATGTATGGCAAGCCAGCTGTCACTTTCATCCAAGTGATGTACGAACACTATCGGCCATTCAGCATGCCCTTCGCACACCTAGGTAGGCATGCATAAGGCTGGCGATATTCATCCACAGTTTGTGGCAAGCTTGATCGAGTAATGCCAAGTCAGATGCTTGCGTAACTGTTTGAACGATTGCAAGCCTAGGTCAGCCCAACTCAAGCCGAGTTCAGACGATCATAGGACTAGCATACACTTAATCGAGGCGACTACATTAGCTAGGTCACGCATAGATCGGACATCAGCCTCCACGACGTTGTCCTTTCCAGGTAGTCGGTTTCCAAGTTCACCGCGCATTCGTCGTCTTCACTCGATCTTATGCCCCAACCGTGCTGAGTTGCGGATGCTAGACTGACTCACGGCAACAACCGCACATTTTAACGCAATAGCACGAATAGCTCAAGAGGCCTACTTTAGTCCCAGAACAAGTCATGAATAGCAATGTTCCGCATAACCCAATATACAACCAAAATTGTTTTCAGTGTGAGCTTTTCAACGTTGGGCTCCACTCCCCACTGTAGATGCGGGGAAGAAAATCCGGGGTGCATATTGTTAAGGAATTCCACAAACGTCAATCGTATTCGACAAGCTCTTGTATGGGCTATACAAACAACTTAATCAAATGGGTTCAATGAGATTGCCCTCGATTTGTGAGAGCTAATTTAGTCTCATTTGAACTTGTCATCACACGGTAATAAGAGATCGCTTGTCGCGGACACCGTGAAGATGTCCGAGAGACCTGGCCAAGATCTGGCAGTCAATATGAGGGGAAAGGCGCTTATTGAGTTATAGAATGCGATCTAGACAATCCTCACCTGATTATCATGGGGAGCCTCGGCTTCTTCTAGACTACCATCCTCTGCGAAAGTTTGGGGACAATGTAGCTGAATGGAATAAACAGCGTTACCATCCTTCTTGATCCGTGTGCGGTGTGTCTTGTCCCCGAGTCATAAACCTCACCAGTGTTACTTTGATGACATTCATTAGTGAGACGCTGTACTGTGCTATGTTTGAAAGATCATATGGCTGTGTGATAGGTCTTGATAGCAAGTAAAGACCACAATTGACTGTATGGATCTGGTGAAGCTGTTCTTCCAGAGATATGCTAACGATTAAAGACGGCTCGGGACAAGCAGATCACGAATGAACGTCCAGCAACTGAAAACGCCCAGAATCCTTCTATTTGGGTCTGAGGCCACAGCCTTTGTCATGTAATGTGCCAGCCGTCAGCCTCTCTCTTTGCATTTTGTCACACTTTACGAAACTGTTATGCAGCCGCAACTGACACTTACACCAGAACCGGCATCCTATTGGTTTCGTATCATGCGACAATGGCGGGGAAGCTAAAGCTGCACAAACTACCCCTCTCCAAACAAGGGTGACGGCTGATACCGTAAGACTGTTGCATGACTCTCTAACACCATTATCTTCATTCGGAACCAACAGTGTGATAACTGATCCATGTATGCATGAGGTTGAGCGTCAAAGAGGAGAGACTACAACCAACACCAGTTTCTGCCGTGGGGGGGCAGGGGAAGGATGAGTTTGGAAGTCGTTAGTGAGGGATTGCGATGTGACAGGGCCGGTGATAGAGGCATACAACTCCTATAAGGTGTTGCGATGGATAAGCAGCTACCATTCACCGGTTGGAGTCATCATAACATTGGGTGCACATATGAGTTAAGAGTCCTCGCTTTATGACTGAGTGATAAAACTGCGAGGTATCCATCCTCCAATAAATAATCTCTCGACGAAACAGAGATTGTCAACATGGTCTCATCAAGTCGCATAGATAATCTGGAGCCTTTTTGGATCCTTTGGGATGCAAACATATTGACGCTGCATCATGATCATGTCGGTCAAGTTTCCATATCCAAGAGAAACAAGAAGTGTTGTTACCTTAATAAGGGATAGTCAACTTGTGTGCAGTTAACATCGATAGCCAGATCATATCAACAATTGCTCCAACCAGGGACTCCGCGTATCCCTAGCATCATTGAAGAGGTTCAAGTACTCTTTTAAATACTGCCGTTATCGCGACAAAAAGATGAAACGCGTACAAATGTTTATTGATCCACAAGTGTCTTGTTCACAAGACACATGATTCTATGGTCAGGCCAAGTCTTCTTTCTCCGCGCCATTCAACCCATTTGCAGCGACATACTCAAGAGATACTGAGTGCCATGACTAGAAAGTGCCTCGTTGGCCATCAATTGGGCCAGGCGGTTTTGGGTATTCGTTCTTGTTTCCACCGACTCCAAGTCCAGATTCCGCTACTAGGTTGTTCATTTCGAGACGTTTTGGATTAATGAGACGTTGTCTCCCTTCAACATAATTTGACCTGAAAGGTATTAGTTGACTTCAAGATTGGCGGATCTTAAGAGACGTACCAAGAGGTCTCCTGGTCTCCTTATCGTTGGTTTTGGTGACCTGCTTAACCTCCACAGCCTCATCGATGACTAGGTTCATGAACTCATCGAATCCCTATCGATAGTCAGTAGTCACTCTTCAGCACGATTCCACATGTACTGACTCTGATCTTGCCCTCAATGCGGATGGAGAGCTGTTCGTACAGCCAGATGCTGACTGTGGCGTGCTGCGATTGTTAGCAAAGTCCACAGATCTTCCCGAGTTCTTCAGCTCGCCGTCGCGGACCTCGAAACACAAATTATTCCGATCCTCGCATCCTGGTGGGGAAATGGGGTGCCATTGTTGTCTCCAGTCTGATCACGAGGGTTCGAGATTGTCGCGCCATGACAGCCAAGCCGGTTCAACCATAGCGGTCCCAAGAAACAATAAAGCAATGATCACCACGTAAGAAACATTCAGGTCCCTGGCTCGTGTAATTTCGACATCGTCAGGCGCAGAATCGGTCCAGTTTGTGTTTTCGAGGTCCACCCAGCGGTCAAGCGTAAAAGCGTTCGGTAGAGCGCGTAAAGACAAGACTTACTTCTCGGAGAAGCTCGAAGATATACTTGCTACAGAATAATTAGCACAATGCTCCAAACATCCGACAACCAAGCGATCGCGTCGCAGAGAGGAACACGAGGCTTACATGGGAGGCAGCATAAGACGGCGACCACCGCCACCACCACGACCAGTCATTTTGTGAGGAGGAGCGCAAAGGATCGATAAACTGATTAAGGGTGCTCTTGCGCTGGGGATCGAGGTCGAGAGGGGGGATAAAAAGGTTCGACTGTTTGACCACCGCGATTCTGCTGTCGCAAGATCGAAGTGGAAGCTCTAAACACCAACCCAAAATCTCGGCGGAGGTGGGGCAATGTTTATCCGGGGTATAATCACTCCCGGGTAGGTCAACAAACTGGGAGATTCGTCGTCTGAATATGAGTAACTGCTAACTAAGGTATGCCTCGAGGCTACTGACTACAATGGATTATTTGGTTTCTACAGATTGCTATTATTCTGGATGTTTTGTCAAATCATTAAAAGCAAAGATTTTGGGTTGGGATTTAGCAGCGGGGACAGGTACTTGTTCTTCGTTCAGATTCCCTTCGAATTACCTCCTAACGAATTCGCATACATATATCACAATGACCTAACGAGTAAGGATAGACTGAAACAGGATTCTGGGTAATCCGTTAGCAAAAACTGCTTTCAAGGGCTAAAAATCCGGTTCCGTGTATGGTTAACACGTTTACCATCCATAGGATTCGCAATCAGATCACGACGTACACGAAAGAAAGTTAGATCTCAAGTAAAGGACAATTCATTAAGCGTTATCTCACAAGTAGTTATAGAAACTATCTTCTTATCTTTGACAGGGCCACTGAAAAGAGACCATGATTGTCAGCTGTCTATTTAAGCCATGATGAATGCATCCATTGATGGAGGAGGAGACGGGCAAGCCCGGCACAAAAGAACTCAGTAACTTTAGGTTAGGCAATGCCGGACTGCCGTGGTGCATGATACCTGCCAAAATATACAGTGTTCATTCAACGCTCTTGAATCGTGATGTGTCTTAGTAGTTTGAGGAGGAGGGGAGAAAGAGCAATTGCGTCGACGATCAAGCATCACCCTCTCTCCATGGCCCATGTCAACCTGCGAACAATCAACAACACATTCAATCACAAAAGTCTCTTTATCATTCTATATCATTCTTTCATATCAACCGTATAGTCTCGTCACTCACTATCTGGTATTCAATAGCCAGTCATGGACTTCCGCTTTGCAAACCCTACGCATGCTCAGGAACAATCTCTCTTCTTTCGACTCCCACCCGAAATACACGCTGAAATTATCACCCTCTGTGTCCCAATATTTTGGCAAAGATTCGAAAAGTGCCACCAAGACGAGGGTAGGGAGCCTTTGCGGCTCATCAAAGCCGAACGACACCTGCCAGCCCTGCTCAGCACATGTCAGAGAATGTTACAAAAGGCACCATACGATATTTAGACTCAAGCATAGCTTGCGTGGGTCGCTCCTATACCTCCATCTATCTCCTGCTATGGGCAATATAAAAATATTCCATGGCTCAATATTCCAGTCTTCCACGGCCATGAGAGGTTCCGAGCTTTGGTCGTGCACGGTTCATTGTCTTCAGAAGGAATTGTTGGGGACAGCCTCAGCCAGCTCTACTTACCTCCAATCCTGAGGCCGTGTTCTCCGCAGTTAATCATCCTTTATACCTAGAAAATGAGAGTTCCGACGGCAAGACGAGTGGGAGGCAGGGGACATAGCTAGGCTTGGCAGCGTTTGGTTATAACAGCGGCGGTATTGGTAAAGCTCTGCGGTCCCCATTTAATGAATCCGAATTTGAAGTTTTCAGTAGAAGACGGAGCAGAAAACCCAGGCTCCATGAGAATGTGACTATCATCAAAGTTGAAGTTGAGATTCTCCCCACTAGAGACGATGGTTATCAGAACCGATGAGGCAAATCGTCAGGAGTCGAAAAGCTCTATTTGCCAAACGAGAAGAGCTTGGAAAAGAGATTAGAATGCTGTGACACCCTTACCTATAGTGATCTGCTCATCGCCGTTCGATATTGCGAGTATGACCTTGTTTCACAGATCATCTTTATAACCAGACGAGGCAGTGAAGAAGTAGTATCAACAAATGTAGCCCGCCGATATTCAAGTCAGTAATGAAATACCCTAGTATTACTCTCCATTTTCCACCTATGATAAATGAGCCGCCTGCCTGACGCAATATGGTCGCATCGTAGGACTTCTTTCAGGGGATGGCAACACGTCCTCGAGCCTGTAAGCACGATGTCAAGCAAATAGAAATATTTTGTAGAGAAACAAAGCTTCAAATAGATCTTGGTACATCATCAAGTTACATTTTTACCGTGGACTGACGATGGGAAGCATCACGAATGAAAACAAGATTCTGGTAGTCAGTCAAAAGCTGATGGAATATAAGAGACGGAATATATAAGATCAGAAACTATATCAATCTATAATGAGATGGGAAAGAATCGTAATAGCGTAACCAACATAGCTCATGCCCAGCATGAGTCCCGTCATCCATCATATATCTCGTATGCCTACCCAACGCTGAAAAACGACATGATATGCCTATACGACAACAAGCAGATACCCAATAAATGATAACAAAGCAATACCAAGACCAGGTCTTGTACTAAAGGCACCGCCCTCCTCTTTCGAAACCTCTTCCTTGAACTGACCCTCGACATTACCCCTGGGCCAGTACTCACAAACAAGAAACCAGCCTCGTTCACCGCAAAGCTTTCTTCCGCATCCAACAGTCGTAGTATCCTTCCATACAAGCTGAGTGAAGTGACCCGTCTTCTTGCTAAACTTAGCCTTGTCGAAATTGTACTCATCACGCTCATCACCCCAAGCCTCGACGCTCGCTGTAACATTGGGATAACCTATAGCCAGGTTCTCACCATAGGGTCCACCAGAGTGCTCAAAGTCACAGTCATCGTTGTCGTCGAGGTAGTCTGTCGCGAACCCCTCGAGTGTTTTGTTCCATTTTAGTGCTGTTGCGTTGTGTTCCTCGCGATAGAAGTTGGTGCTGTTTAGAACGGCAGATGTGAAGGATTTGCCTTCTTTGTATTCAGGCTCATTGGAGGGAATGGATACTGGAGCTGTGATTGTGACATCTGCAGCGAGGCTTGAGCCGAAGAGGAGGGCGGTAAGAGGAAAGAAGAGGTTCTTCATGGTTGTGGGATGTGAGTTGGTGGTACGGTATGGGTCGTGTAAGTGGTGTCACAAGGACAAGTGGCCAGCCGCCTTGAAGCTATTTAGACACGAGGCAAAATGCCAAAATGATACAAATCACAGGTGTTGATCCAAAAAGTCTATTCACAAAGAAACAGAAGGATAATTGAAAATTTAACTCTATTCTTTGTCCTCTCAGCCTGATTTACCAACATCTCGGCCTTGGAACAGGCCTATGACGTATGCCTTTTACCGCCAATAGCTGTATAGCACATGGCTCAGCCAACCTTGATCGATGACGAGGGACAAGGCTGGGCATTTGCTGACCATAAGTGAGATATTGAATTGAGGCTACTCAGTAGCTGTATTCGAGATGTAAACAATGTGAAACTTGTAGTGGAGGGTGATCAGTCTCTAACAGCTATAGGTTATGCAAGACTCGATTGACTTGAGACGGTGTCGAACTGGGGGGGTGGCCGTTTCTCAATCCCCCACCATGAGTGTAAACTACTGGATATAGCTTGAGAATGACGGCAATTGGCGCTTAGTCGAACAATTATTGACTGATCTGTTCATCTCAACATTTGCTAGTATTTTTGCCTCTTGTCAATTAATCACAGTGCTTAACCCCCCACGCAATTACTACTCAGAGCCCGCGGCCGCCGTTGACGTGCATAGCCGATTCCATGGAAGTTAACAATATCACAGTAACAACCGATCCAAGGCATCACAGGCATAGGCATACCTAGGTAATAGGGAGTGTGAGTCACCGGATGATTAGTCCGACAGAGGTTCGGCTGAGTCTACCGTACAGTACCGTATCGTATGCGCATCATACCTTACCGTACCGAGTATGCCTTCTAATTCTGTTGCCTTGTCTGTCCTGTCCAGTCCCACTCGTGCGCGTACTCGTCGACTAATAACGCACTCGTGCGGATTCTAGTGGTCCATTCTCATCGCAGCCGAGTTCTAGATCCCACCGTGAAAGTGGGCTATCGAAACGGTAGCAAGAATAGAGTCCGGTTCTCAGACGTGTATGGCCGATGACCGGTCATGATTGAGCGATTAATTCAACAACGAGTCTCTGTGTAACAACCACCGAGTCCATGAATGGCTGAGAATCGTTCATTGAAACGTGAGTTCCAGTCTAAGCATAAACGCTTTCTCTCACAGGCAAACACAAGTGCCGGTCTTCTTCCCGTGGGCAAACAGCCATTGCAACCCCCAACATCATCTCGTACGTCAAGTCGCATCGCAGATCATTGTTAAAGAAATCATTAAGCGACCAAAACAAGAAAGGGCAAAAAGGCAAAAAGCGAAAAAGCTCCGATGCTGCGGCAATTGTGAGATGTTTCCTCTAAACCGTTAATATAATTGTTTGTTCAACTGTCATGCCACAATACCACCCCAAAAGACATAGCGATATCCACCCCCAAAGGAAACAGTAGAAAAAATAATTATTAAACAAGACGTGATTCGCTCAGAGTTGCTCAGGACCCTGCTGATCATCTCGACGTAGGTGGTAGATCTCTTGGAGCCAAAAGGACTTTATCTGAGTTTGGGCATTCGCACGGTTGAAACCAAGTTTTTTACTGCCTTCTTGTTCTTCTAGTCAACTTCGTGAGCGCCACTATCGCCACTGAACTGAACAAACAGCCAACAATCAGTTGATGTGATGATGACCTGCAGAACGAGCAGAGTGGGACCAGCAGTTCAACGAGAGAGGAATGCACAGCCGCTCCCTGAGTTATACCGGGACGCAGCCAAGTTAACTGCTTGCCGGCTGTAACATTACGTAGGCAGATGAAACATGACATTATGTTGCATTGTCGAATGTGATACGATTCTCGCTGCATGATTGTCTTCCGGGCCGAAGATTAACCATGTAATTCCAGATGCTGAGGTATCATTGGATTGCATCTTTTGGCCACGGCTGAGGTGGTCTTCGGCCACGATACCCTCCAACCGCCGATTCTAACCACTACGGAACCTTTCCGCTGGCCGGCCTAACCCCAGACTTGACTGATTTGTCTGTGCTGAACTAACAAACGAGCCGTACTATGGTTGTATTATTGGTGATAGATCCAAAAGTGATCTTTACTTCTCTCACAGGTAGATATTCCTCGTGGCGCAAATGTAAGATATCCCTTGAATTACAGGGTCATCAAGTCTGTAAAAAATAACTCACAGGGACTCGAATTGGATCACCATTCATCTTCCTGGTAAGCAAAAGCCACAGGCCCGCCGTTCGTGGGCAAACTCAAAATATCTCATGTGTGTGCCAGCCCCTGCATCTTCCCGAGGTCCTTGTATGGACGGATGTACAGTACTAAACAAGTTCTTGAATGGTGCTTCGATTCCATGACTTGGGAGGACTGCCATGGTGCAGCTAAACTGAATCAGACTATGCCTCGCTCCATCCAATCCGACAATCTTTGCGACTTTGTTGGCTCTGTCCTGTAACAGGCACTAATAGTCATTGAAATGTTATTAGCTTACCGACCCCATGGCACTCATTAGTTTGAGTGTTTAGTGTAGACATCGCCTGTAGACTTCTCTAAACCAGTTCAAGGTATTCCTCGCCACAAGGAAGAATCAAGTCAGCTTCTGGATCTTCAAAATGTTAATCTCAAAGCTTCGCCTAGATTCTTCGGACAAGCACGGGGCTATCGGTATCCACCAGTATCCTCAGATCGTCGACAAGGCGCCTTCCTACAACGCAAGTTGTGCTGCTTTTCGATTAGCTAGGAGGCTAGCTCTGTTTGGCTCCGGGGCCTTCCTGAGCCTCAATTACGGTAATAACAAGCAAATGGGATTATCCGTCAGCTCTGATTAATGGCTGCCCACTTGCAACAGAGCCAACGTAGCACTCCAATTAGTTGGTGATCCGACCGGGACCCTCGCAGCACCGAGACTTCAGGTCTAGTCGCCAATGAAGAGGTTGCATGCGTAACCTCTAGAGCTTATGGTTCGTGGCCTCGAATCTTAGTCGTTGTTCCAGGGACAGGCAATGGACGTGACAGCCTCGAGAGAACCGCAGCATCCGAGGACGCGTCAAGGCGGGCGTTGACGAGCGCTGAGGGAGGTGCTGCTTGTTAGCTTCACTTTCTTGCAAGATCAGCCATTTGATCTCGGGTTCTTCATTTCATTTCATTTCATTTCCAGCTCTTGTCATGCCTGGCGCCGCCGCAAACAGCAAAATCTGGGGAAGCCAGGGATGGGATGCTGGAAGATGGTGTGTGCGCCGTCAACTACAAGGGACCTTGCCAGCTAACGCAACGTCCGGGGGCCGGCCCCAGATTCTTCTCTTTCTCCATGATCCATCTGTCCAACCATCCAGACGGAGAGAGCCTGGGGGGATCCGGGCTTGGCTCCGCTAAACAGAATTTGGGGTAACTAGAGAGCACGGTGACTGGGGGAAGAGACCACCAACGAGTACTGTGCGAAATTGCAGCGCTGAAATTCCAGATGACTTGGCCCAATAGGCGATCTCTTGGTTCAAATGGCTCAATTGTCCGACTGGCGAGTACGGAAAAAGTTGAACAAGTGGCGTGCAGGGGTTGAGTTAGACGAAGAGGAAGGGCGTTGAAGGGAGGGATGTTAAAAACGTGGAAGAATTGGTCAATGTGCCTAATATTGGGTAGACCAGCGGCTTCGTTGGTCAATCCCAGAAGCTGGTCTCACACGCATAAGCGCGTGGTGTGGCAGACCCTTTTTCGTTGTCAAATTTTCGATTCGATCTCTGAAGAAAGATGATGAAAGTGCTTCTGTCTCTCAGAGGGATGATATCCATTCCGACACAAAGCGTCAGAACTCGGCTCAGTCGTCACTATAGCGGTATTTCTTGGCCATTTTGCCCTTGGGAAGTAGCGTCATGGTGATTCAATCTGGTCCAGTCTACCTCAACCGACCGACATCGCTCATTTGGACTCGAGACCTCGAAATGACAAGCACCCAATCCCAATCCCGAATGGGTTGCAGGAGCCTCTAGCTGTGGGCCGCGGCTGCACCTGACCCCTTTAACCCTTGGATCGAATGGAGATATGCCTCTTTCTGGAGTTAGGATTCTGGGGTTGTAGGATTCCTCGATCAAGGCCTGTGTGGCCTTGTCTGTCTCTGTCTGGCTCGTTTATGCAGTATGGTGACGACAAGAGAAAGGGAACCATAGCTTGCCCAGTCCCTTCTCCAAATCGTTAGGGCTGATTCAGATTCTAAATCCTGTTTCAATCAAGAAAAAGTCCCCGACCATGATGGATTGGAGATCCTTTGGAGAGAGAGTAGGGACCAAATACTCCAAGCCCAGCAATGTGGTATCATTCCTCACTGGTTCAATGTTGCTTTGCTGATATCAGATCCTTGATAGCTCTTAACATGTTGGTTCCCATACTACAGAGGGTTACAATTTGCAGCATCCAGTCCTCATTTGCTAAGTACCTTCTTGGCTCGATAGTGGACCATATCTGCATCTGTAATGCATTGACATTTCTTCCGATTAGCCCGATTCCACTTCAAGATGCTAGTCCGCCGCGTCGACGGGAAGAAACTCTCGAGACATTAAAGAACAGCAGTGGCATCGTTAATAAAGGCTCTGTAGCAGCAGATGTGGGACTTTAGACGGAGACCCAGCAGTGGATTCGAGTCCAAGGCACCAGCACCACATATCTGATGCTGGATTCTGCATTCTGCATTCGTACAGCTTGGGGATTTAGGATCACTCAAGTCCCACCGTGATGCTTGGCACATCTCGGGGGGCTGTGCAGCGGGTAGACTTGGGTCAGGGGCAAGGATCACTCTGGGAGCCTGTGCTCAAAGCAAAGACCAAGTCAAAGCAGACCAGGCCAGAGATAGCGAGTTGGAGAAGCTCTGGGAGTGCGTGGATTACATGACGTTTCATTAGAGCATCTCATCTCAATGTGAAGAGCCTCAGAGTCAACCTAACCGCTAACCGTTCACACCTCAAGTGCTTATGGCGCAAGCCGCCAAGCTGATAACCTCGTGATTGCAAGATGCTAATCCGGCATGTGAAGAGCAGAAATTGGATGTTTTAGAGACATGCCTGGATCAACATATCCACCAAGAGGTGGTTGAATTAAGAGGCTGAGAAGTTATGAACTGCATGATTTACTGTTCCTCTTTTGCTACTGTGCTCACGTACTGTACACAAGTAGAGAAGGTGTCTGCTCAGCGATGTTGGTGCTTATCTAGAAGATCACTGCGGACATACATGTGCCCGACGTCCGTAGCTAATGCAGAGAAACTCGCAGGCGTCCAAAATGGTCGTGTTCCTGGATCCTCGGTGAAGTAGCTGATCAATTGGAGTGAAGCATTCGAATCTGGCACGACTTGAGAGCCGTGTGGTAACGATACCGTTGAGCATGGGAGGCCACACATTCCTTGTGTTCGGCGTGGCAAGATGGTCCTGTGACTGCAGTAGCGACATGGCTCGTGGTGTGTTGAACAGGGATCAAGGGCTCTCTGCAATCGAAACCCCATTCGTGCTCTGCTCCAGAAAAAGACCCAGAGCCCGTCTAACGATGGATGCTAGGCTGTTGCTAGCAGCCCGTCTCAGGGCATGGCTTGTCTCTCTGCCGCGGCGGGCGTTTGATGGATGGACGCTCATCATTTAACCGAACTCAAGCTGTCAATCTGGCGGTGAGTGAGAATTATTCGCCGTTTCGGGCTGCGAGACAAGATTCGGATAGTCTGGCACCGATCGAGGGTCCGTCGACGGCAGTGCCAGCCTATCTATCACTATATCCGCTACGGAGAACTCGCTTCACCACTAGAACAAACAGTACGTAGCATAGATACGGTACAGTCGAGTCTGTAAGGTAGCCTCATCACCCCCAGGATAGGATGGATCTTGCAAGCTGCGCTGTGTGGAAGGTTGGCTGTGACCCTAGCTACAGTACAGCAAAACCCCTGGATAAACGCAGTGATTGGATTCGCTGGAGCTTGTCTGATGCAGAGCCAAGACCTGGTCCCTTTGGCTTGCGTGCAGGTGGATCGGGGCGTAGCAAGCATCGAGGCATCTCGTTCTGGTCTGGTCTCGCCCATTTTCTTGACGTCTTATCGGATGAGACCATCCCCGGCAGTTTGTGAGAGAGAACAAGTCAACTCACTCAGGGCCAGGCCAGGTCCACAGTTCAGTGTGGCATCCATTTCGTTGATTTGCTGGGAATATCGACACTGAGAAAAGATACCTTATCCATGGACCTTGGGGCCTTGGACTGCATGTGTGACACAACAACGTGCGGCCCCATGCCCTAACGAGGTATCTACCAGAGACAGTAAGGGTCAAGGGTCTGCGCACGGCCCTTTTGACGATTGATTCGAACTCTGACTGCCTTTATACGTATTACTAATACTTGGATTGTCCAATGTAAGGGACGCTCACGCTGTGATGGGAGAATTGCATTGCGGTCATGGTCTTTTTGAAACAGACTAGACAGTGGGCTCGTGGATCACGACAACGTCTTCTCGGTGGTAATCTCTCCTCTGTACGACCAAACCGCCAGTCGTACAGGACACGACAAGACAAGGTAATTCTCTAGAAGTTCTAGGGTCAGAGTGGCAAATGTTCTGGACGGAATGAAGAACACTGATGAGGCTGAACAGGCCGATCAGTCAAATGCCAAATGGCGCTTGGTTTCCACCAGAAAAAAAGAAAGTTCCGTAGAAGCGACAATCATCATTGAGGGTCTTGCTGTTGTTGTCTGATAGGTAGAGAGAGTCTAGGGCTTGGCCGTAGACACACCTCGAGCTACGTACGTGAAACGCACGTTGGGCTTACAATTGGCTCTGACAACGGCACATTTTCTTGTGGCAGAACACATGACCTTGAGATGCGGATACTCTATTGTGTTGTTCATTTCGTTCTGAGAATGCATCATCTAAAGTCAAGTCAAGCCAACAGAACAGTCTCACTCACAGTCACCCTCGTCTAGTTGTTGGCCGAGCCGTGAGCAATATTCTACTTCGCACAGTAGCAGAAGCCCCTACTACAGTCAAGACCCAGGACCCTATCGACGCTAAAAGCTACAGGCGATTTGATTGGGGTGGACCCGCCCAGTACGACGACGTTAGGCAATCAATCAGCTGGGAGTTTGAGAATAGAGGCAATTGATCGACTGATTACGACCGAATAACTTCCAATTGATGCTCATGCTTGCTAACGTATCAACCTAGCGGAGGTTGTGATTCACTTCCGGACTTATTACCGACGTGAATCATAAAACGTAAAACAAGAAATCGTATCAAATAGAGAGTCACGCTGCAGGATTGGGTCATAATCTCCTTACTCGCCCAACACGTTATGGTTCCAAGCAGCCCAGACTCGAATAAGCAGAGCCAGCCTCTGAGAGATCATTCCATCGTTTGTAAAAGCAGACTATCTCTGACAAGCGTCACGGAAGGGGTCCTCTCAAAGACGCCATGCCATCATCCTTAGACATCCCATGAGTTGCTCTACTGGAGTTTCGGGTTAATAAAAGCCGCAGACCAAGAGATAATCAGTCAGAATCTCAACAAACACAGCACAACACAACAGCAGCGGGCGCTTAATATCATAGAAGTGGAACAGGCGATTAGTTGAATGTCATTTATCTCGCCATCATATCGGTGGAAATGAATAATAATAATAACACCAGCAGAAGCTCCATATCTGAATGATGTTGCCTCTCGGCGTGGCTTGTGGACAGAATGAGATTCCCCAATTGGGAGCTCTGCAGAACAGAGATCGACTAGGAAGCTGCTGGACCAATCCTACGCTGGTGTTTCTAGACCTGGCTCATCGTCATGTTCCAGCAAGATTAAGCGCCAGGATACGAACAATAGTTACGGGGAGGGAGAGGTTGGAAGAGATAACAAACAAACAAGCATCGACCGGAAACGGTCCTTGATAAATATTAATTATCTCTTGGAGGTTTCGAACCAAAGTTAGGCCGTGCCATGACGCTAGTAGAGACGGCTCCAGTGTCAAAGCGAGCTACCGATGGGTCTAAGCCGTGGCCACTCGTATCTTAGACCTCAAAAACAGCCCGGGAGAACGTTCAAGGGTCCTTCTTCTCCCTCTGAGTCCCCTTCAATTCAGCGCATGAATTGAATTCGAACGTTACATGCAGGCGTTGGTTGTTCTGCATTCGGGATGCTGCAATACCATCGTCATTCATCACACCCCAGTAGCTATTTCGAGTACACCCGAATCCAAACTCCAATATGCGTATGCAGTTCCTACAGCCCGGAGATGCACAGTGCATACTCGGTCAGTTGAACTTTCAGCCCTGGCGCAGCCATCACCTCGTCGTACTGTACTGTAGCTTGTAGACGCAGATACCGGTACTGTGCCAAATGCCGTGGCAAGGTAGCTGCGCAGCGCAGGTTGGGTATTCATGCTCTACAATGTGAAGCTTGTTTGAACTTCGCATAGGTAGGCAAGAGATAGTTCCTAGGCAGAGTTCTTAACCGGGAAGTAATTGAGAAGTAAAAGTTGACGGTGATGAACTCTACAATAAACCCTGGAATATCTGGCACCCCTTGTAAGCCAGACACAGACAGACAGTCGGTCCATCGACCGGCTTGCCCAGCCATATCGAGCCGTGATATACTCACAGCGCATTTGCCGCGTGATGTGACAAACCTACACTGAATAGAGTTACTGCTGTGCCTTTTGTCACCAGAATTTTGAAGAATAGAATCGATGAAAGAAGACGGTCGTAAAGTCGATGAGAGCAAGCTTCCTATCGAACAAGGCCTGAAGGTATGAGGTATCAAAGCATCCCACCATCAGGAGACAGACGCACGAAGGGTAAAGAAGGACGACTAACGTCGTACTCTGAAGATAGAAGAGGTACGTAGATACCCACCCATCCACGATTGGGGGAATTGTGAGCCTCAACTGGCGCAAGTAAACACATTGGATGATGGTCGATAAGCCTGAACCTAGGTCCCAAGATGACGCAGTTGAGGCGACTGGTGACAACCTTTCGGGCGTCGAATCCGAGCTTCAATATTTGAGCAATTGGTTGAGTTGAAAGAAGGATGGTGAGGTGGACAATAACACTTCTTTGCAGACCCAACCGAGATGTGCTACCATGTATTTCGGTTTGTGATGACACGTCCATTAAGAAAGAGTTGGGGGGAATAAAACTCCTTATTAGACCTACTTTCCTTGATCACCATACCATGTTCCTTTGCTATACTGCTCGAAAATCTCTCTCTCGCAATACAATCTGCAAATCTGGCTGTCTTGTCTGACTTCTTTACTCCGAGCGAACTACGGGAACTTGATGCGCCCCAGGGAACCTAGTCTAGCCTACCTTAGCGCTCATAACGGCAACGCAAACGCAACGCAACGCAACTGGAGCCACACCCCCAATAGCGAAAGAACAGGGAAGGTCCAAGGTCCCTTGCTAATTCCGATTCAACAACAGCGTGCACAGTATTACACACACCGTGCTCCTGCTCTTGCTCCTGCGTCCTGCGTCGCCCATCCGTCGTCAGGTTCAGGTATCCTTGCCTGGGCCCTTTTTCGGCGCCAACCTTCCTTCTTCCACTGCACTTGCCGCCCGTGCCTCCAACTCTCTTTCTCTTTCACTTTCCTCAAGCAGTTGCTGCTTCGCCTGTACGTTCTGAACGACGATCTGAATTGCTTCATCTTTTCTTCTTTCTATACAAACAGAAGAATATGCTCTCATCGTTTATAGAACGCTCATTTCGTTCAATCTAAACATCTCTCTCTCTCCCTCTAGATTATCTACTTATCTCCCCTCCCCCCACCAAAGAGTGACGAACCGCGCCCGCCGCCCACCGAAACCTCCCCGCCATCTATCCTATAGCACTCAACTCTCGCCCAACCTTGTGCCCCGCGACGAAACACTTTCTGCTTCTGCGAGCACGACAGGCCCAAAATCTTCGTCTTTCGACCCTCGCGAATGCGAATCTGAACAATCCGACCTGCCATGGTGATAAACGACTCTGGCATTAGAGTCTCGCGCCCCAATCTCGCCATGACCGCTCCCGCACCGACAAACACCGTCGCAGGCACCGCCGCGCCCTCCACCACTGACGATATTGGTGAGCTATCCCGCCTTCGCCGGCATTGCCCCTCGTGTTTCTGAGCTCGACTCGACCCGCACCGTTGCCGATACAAAACCTTGGATACAAAACTTCGATTTATACATGCTAACACTCGTAGCATCCACTATCACAGTCAACACAAAGGCGCCTGCTAATAATTTCCCTCCCGCAAAGACGGACAAGCCACGTCCTCACGTCTGCGGCACTTGCCAGCGTTCGTTCGCCCGATTGGAACATCTCAAGCGACACGAACGCTCCCACACCAAGGAGAAACCCTTTGAGTGTCCCGAGTGCTCAAGATGCTTTGCCCGCCGTGACCTTCTGCTGCGTCACCAGCAAAAGCTGCACCAGACTTCGACCCCGTCTTCCCGTCCTCGTAATCGTCGTGAGTCCACAACCGGTGTCGCTCCTGGTCAGAGTCGTGCCCGAAAGAACAGCGTCGCTGGAGCCAACGCAGCTGCCGCTGCCGCTCCGGCTTCAAATGCCTCAAACACCATGCGACCCCGAGCCAACACCCTTGGCCATATCGACACAATGGCTCTCAGTATGGCCTCTGCCAATGCCTCCGTGGCTCGTGGGCCTCTTCATGGTCATAGTAGACACCCCAGCCTCGCTGGCTTTCCAGTCCACACCATGGATCCTCTCTATGGTGGCATGTCCGCTGCTATGGGTCAACGAGCTATGCAACCTGGCATCCCTAAGCTGGAAACAGGAGCTTTTAGTAACCTCGACTATGTTAACCCTCTCAGGACGGCCCCGATGTCCTTCAACGAGTTCGATTTCGACACCATGCTCTTTGGGACGGCCACGACAGTAAACCCAAACAATCTCCATTACAGCGACTCGCCGCAGGTGATGAATTTGGAAAACTCGCCCTTCGGGCACTCGATGAACGACATGTCTACGAACCCCCAGTTCGACGATCCCGTTGACTGGTTGACTGGTTTTGAGCAACAGATGTCATTTGCGAACGAAAATGTGATTGATGATGGATCGAGTCCGTCCGCAATCAGCACGACGAGTCAGAGTGGGATTAGCGATGTTATGTTGGATGGGTCGAATCATCCCGCGCCGGCTGGGACCAGTACCATGTGGCCGACATCTGTGATGGCTCCTCCACAGATGCCCTCGAACCCTTTTGCGATGGAAATGAATGGCACAGTCTTTCCGGATCTCCTTAGCGGAGCACCGTTATCACCTCAGCCAGCTACTCAAAAGATGAATGACCCTTACTTCTCTACGCCTCCACCCTCGCTGAGCTCATTGAGTCCCTCTGTTGTGACGGGACTCGGCACCCAAAACATTAACCAGACCCTTGGCTTCAACGCCGGCCCGGAGACGCCATCTTCTCTAAATGGGGGCAACCACGGCGCTTCGCCAGTGACCACCATTACAGATGCTACCCGGCATGCCATCGTGAACATCCTGTCCCAGTGCCTACCCTTTGGGGGTCGTAAACATTCTTTTACTTCTCAAGGATCACCTCAGTCGCCACTTTCCCAGTCTGCTGGCAATGCCGCCTCATCCCAAGCAGCTAATCTGCCCAGTACTCAGGACCTTCAGCGATATGTCGGTGCCTATCTAGCATACTTCCACCCCCATTTGCCTTTTCTTCATCTTCCTACTTTGTCCTTCGATATGCCCATCTCTGCCAATAGTCGTCCAGGTGTAGGTGGTAGTGGTTGTCTGATATTGTCCATGGCCGCCATTGGCGCGCTCTACGAGATGGATACTGCCCAATCACGAGAGCTGTTTGAAATGGCCAAGAAAATGATCTTTTTTTACCTTGAGGAACGTCGAAAAGCCGATGTCCGAAAAGCAGATATCCGCCGAAGTACCCCAACTGATCATAGCAATGATGGCGGCGCTCACACTCCCGTGTGGCTTGTGCAAGCCATGCTTCTGAATGTCGTCTATGGCCATAATTGTGGCGACAAGACTGCCAGTGACATCGCTTCTACGCATTGCGCCGCCCTGGTCAGCCTCGCCCAAGCAGCTGACCTCTTGCGACCCAATCGCACCAACGCCTCTGACGGTCAGGATGTTCAGATGAGTGATGACCGAAACTGGAACACGAATCTGGAACCCGATCAGGCAGAGTGGCTGAGGTGGAAGTCAGGAGAAGAGCGGAAGCGAACTTTATACGCAGTGTTTATACTTTCCAGCCTCTTGGTTTCCGCTTACAACCACACACCTGCGTTAACAAATTCAGAAATTTACCTGGACCTCCCTTGCGATGAAGAGTTCTTCTCAGCTGAAACGAGCGCAGTCTTCCACTCACGCGGTGGAGCTGATGCTGCAGACCACAACCGAATGACATTTCACGATGCATTGGGTGACCTCCTCCATGTCAATGAGAAACAGCATCAATTCTCTTTTGGTGGACAGTTCGGCACCGATGGAAGCGACCCTATGAGCGCACCTCTTCGACCCAGCACATTCGGATCTCTGATACTTATCAACGCACTGCACAACTATATCTGGGAAACACGACAAAGACATCACAACAAAATCTGGACCAATGAAGAGACGGAGAAGATGCATCGGCACATCGAGCCTGCCTTGAAGGCGTGGCAAGCGGCCTGGGCAAGCAACCCTCATCACAGTGTAGAACGCCCAAACCCTTTTGGTCAAGGCCCTCTGTCAGCTGATGCGATCCCTCTGCTCGATTTGGCGTATATTCGGCTATTCGTGAACCTTTCACGCTCAAAAGAGAAGTTTTGGCAAAGAGATTGGGACGGGATGGCTGAGGAGCTTTCTCGGGGAAATGAGATCGTTCAGCATGCTGAGCAATCACCGATCTCAAATTCTGAGTCTGGCAGTGCCGAACCTTCGGATAACTCAATCAATGGCTCGGGATTTGTAGAAACGCCTGCGACACAGACGTCATCGATGGATTTCTCCAATACTAAGCTTCCTCTACGGCCAGCATCCTCTAGTATGTCGAGTCACACTACATCTCGCAGGGAAAAGCATCTTCGGAAGGCAGCTTTCTACGCCGCCGACTCCCTCGCCATGTCGGATAAGCTCGGTGTGACCTTTGCCGACTTCACAAGTAGGGAACTTCCACTTCAGTCTGCCATGTGCGCATTCGATTGCGCCCAGGTTCTTGCAGAGTGGATTGCGACGTTGCAGGATCGTGTTGGCTGCTATTTGGGGATCCTTGGTCAGGATCAAGTCAATCTCTCTGAGGTTCCTGCCATCATGCTTCTGGAGGAGGAAGATGTGAAGCTGCTGGGCAAAGTTCAAGAAGTGCTATCGTCAGCAGAGATGAAGATGAACATGGAGCTTGTCAATGGCATGAACGGCCAGGAAGCCAACCTGGACATGGGTGGGCACAATGGCTACGCTGCCAAGCTACTCCGAATCACTGCATTGATGCTTGACAAGGCTGCAGTCTGGCCAGTGACACGACTCAAAGCTCGATGCCTGGAATCTCACGCCAACTTCATGCGAACACGAGCTGAGAGGTCTATCATACCCCAGCAAAACGCACATGTGTAAGAACAGATGTAGGAAAAGGGCATCTTCACAGTTTTGTTTCCTTCAAATCAAGTGTCAGCATTCACGAATCACGTTGAGATGCATTGAAGGACTTGAAGCGATATTTGTTTATGATTTACACCAAACTCGAGCAATGGCTTTACGTATCATGAGATCTTTCATGTGAGCATCGTACACAAAAGTCTATGCTTTCTTTCTACTTGCAAAATTTGGTTTCTGGGCTTTGTTATTCGTATGGTCTGTCAGTTTAGCGTTAGGGGCGTTTGGTGGTTGTCTCGTTAATAGCTGCGATGTCGCCACAATGACATTGGGAGCTTGCGTATTATAAGCTTTGCTTGCTTTATCGTGAAGGATCGGTAGGGTTTGGCACGAATTGCACATGGTAGTGCCGTGATCGCACATGGATATGAAGTCGCCGCAACGACTGTTGGTTGAAAGGACACGCAACAATCGTTGTCGGCTCACACACATGTGCCATAACAACATTCGAACTTCAACAAGGAGAATGTCATCCGACGGTGAGGTTCATGGAATGTGTTGGAAGCTCTGAGGAGGGAGGCAATAGCAATGAGAACTGCATGCTGGAGAAAAGTGGATGTCAGCTCTCAACGGTTTTGAGTGCGGGACCTCGTACATGTACCTATGGACGGCTGCCTCTCATGTACCTCACCCAGTCGGCTTTTTAGCCTTGAGATGTTCAAGTAAAATAAGAAGTGTGTATGATTGGATCGTCTGCATCTTGGTATAAGTGAGTGAGTGAGTGAGTGAGTGAGTGAGTGAGTGACGTGACATGACGGACTCCTGGCCTTGTAAAACAGAATATCACAATAAACACCCATGTTAGAATTCTCTTGCCAATTGGAGGATTGAGATGAGCCTCTTGATTTTTATTGTTGCCTATTAATATTAGGCAGACATGGAACATTATGGCGATAGCTTGTTGATGAGTGAGGTGAGGCATTAGCGTCATCAAGCAGGTCCAATACTGGGGCATTTCTCAGTTGCAGCCTCACCTCATTCTCATCTCTTCAACTTCAACTTCAACTTCACACACAACAACACAAAATGACCGACAAACAAGAAACAAACCTCGCTCCTCCAGACTTCAACTTCACTTTCGACGAGTCCGTCGCAGAATGGAACGTCAATCACCGCGAGTGGCTCAAAACCCACGACAAGACATGGGACTCCCTCGCAACAGGCGCCCTCGTCTTCGACACCTCCAACCGCATTCTCCTTCTTCAAAGAGCACCAGACGATAGTATGCCAAATAGATGGGAGATTCCAGGCGGTGCTTGTGATGACGAAGATGAAACTGTTCTGTACGGTTGTGCGCGCGAGCTTTGGGAGGAGGCAGGTCTGAGACTGCGACACATTCGACGTGTTATTCCTGATGGGGCAAATGGAAAACCTGGAGCTGTGTTTACGAATAGAACTGGGAAGAGGTTCTTTTGCAAGTTTAGCTTTGAGGTTGATGTTGAGGATACGGCGGAGGTCAAGTTGGATCCGAAGGAGCATCAGGATTATGTTTGGGCGACGGAGGAGGAGGTCAAGGGGCAGAGGATGAGGGAGAGGGAGATTCCACTGACGAATGGATTAATGGTGAGGTTGATCGAGAAGGGGTTTGCCAAGAGGAGAGACGACAAGGGGGCATGATGATATGATACGTTGCTCTTCTGTATGTTCTGAGAGGCTCTTTCGTTGTTCAGTGATTAGGGTTCATATTATTATTAGAGTAAAGTAACGTCTCAGTACAATTTTGAAACTCCTTGATACCCATTTTCCTTTCTTTTATCCAGCGCCAGACTAGGTATATTTTCCAATCTCCATATGTCATAACCCAAACTCCCATAAAAAAAGACCAACCACAACAAATATAGTCAAATTCAGATTCGCAACGAATGAAAATTATTCAAGTACTCCTGGAAATTAAATGATAGTCTTGGGAGACAGCCACTTCCCAATGAGAAGAGCTCGGGCTGCAAAGTAGCAAGCTCCCCCTACAGCTGTCATGCCAGTGAAGAGACCAGCGAGAGCTTGGGGTCCCATGTTTTCAAGCATGGCACCACTTGTTGGGAGAGCGATGAGCAGTGCGAAGGCGGTCACAAAGTTCATCATTCCTGAAGCAGTGGTTAGTTATGGTTGAAGCTGTTGACACGAGAGTAGGCTTACCATAATATCGACCATAATCCTTGGCCTCACATGTTTTACCCATACAGACTGTTACCCGTTAGCCGGCTCTCATATCAGTGATACCGTCAGATACATACCTGGAGTAATGGAGAGGAAAGACCCAGACCCAAATCCCCAGATAGCAGACCAGGCGTATAGAGCAGTTGCTGACTTGGTACCAAATGGAACGAGCAGAGCCCCCATAAAGATGATAGTAAACACTAAAGTAGCAAGTAGAACATTGAAATGCCCATACTTGTCGCCAATAATTCCGGGAATGATTCGGCCGAATGTACTCGCCGCCCCAACAATAGAAAGAAGAGTATATCCATTCTCGGCAGTGAAGCCGACCCGCGTAGAAATGGACGGTAGAAGACCCGAGATACTGAAGATGACAAACTCAAACATAAAGATACCGGCTGTAACAAAACAGAAAGCAGGTGATTGAAAGGCAGTGAAGTTGAGTGTTGAGCTCTTGGGGCTGGGTTGGCCATCTGTAGATGATTTGTAGATCTTGTTGAAGGTGGTGAAGCAGAGAATGGCGGGGAGAAGTAAGCCTGCTGATATAAACGCCATGATTCGCATTGACCATTGCCAGCCGAGGTTGGGGTATGTTGAGCGTAGAATGATAGGGAATATGACAGCGCCGATGGACGATCCTGCGAGTGTAATACCCATAGCGAGACCACGCTTGCGGACAAAGAGCTTTCCTACTATGGCTATCGCTACGACCATTGTAATAGCAGCGCCGATACTTCCGAATACTCCCAGACAGAGCATGAAGTGCCAGTAGTTGCGACATTCGGCCATGAGGAGAAACATGGCCACATAAAGAACTGCTCCAATAGGACCGATGATGTTGGGGCCGTGGACATCAACCATTGGGCCGACTTGGACATTGAGAATGAGTGAGAGGAAGAGGAATATGCCACTGATCCATCCAACTTCGCCTTCGCTGTAGTCGTGGAGTTGATTCATGCTTAGATATGTCTGAACTGTGCCCAACGAGTTCATGAAGCCTGGTCCATCGTCAGTTATTGTTCTGCTGTTGGGGTGGTAGACCTACCAAATGTAGGTATCAAAGTTAGAAAAGATCCAAGGACGCAGATCCATGCACTGACTGACTTTTCGACATCTTGTCTCGAGTCTGCGTCAGGTTGTGCTTCAGCGTCTGTGTTGATGTTTGACACTGTAGCTGTGATGGGATCAAGGCCAAATGCCGCCCAGTTGGTGTTCTCTTGAAAACTATTGCGTTGGACGGCTTGTTCTTCTTGAGTTGAATCAATCATGACTTTCATCTTGAACAATTGCCTTTGTCTTATGGAGAGGGATGAAAGTGTCAGATGTAGTATATAAGAATTGTACGGAAGTGGTCCCGCAACGTTAAATCTTTTTCTTTCCCAGTCACTTACACAAACACACACACAAGACGAAACTAGCAACAAATTAGGAAAAAAGACTGCATCTAGACTCCGCTCATGGCAGTTTCTAGCGTCGAAATCACGCCCTACGGAGCTCCTCGACCGGATCGGAACCGGCTACCGATGGAGGGGCAATGAGATCTCATATTACATGCGATTTATGGCTTAAGCGAAGCTGCTCTCATTGTCGGTGAGAGCATGGTCAGTGGCGTTGCGGGACCGGACTTGTGGAGTCGCCGAGTCTGCTGGGGTTAAGATATGGCAACTTTTGCATGAGGTTGCGTTGCTAAAACTGCTGATAGGGTCATTCATTCATTGTGTTGCGGCTTCGGTATGGGTTACTATTCTAGTTCTCGGGTGGGGGGGGGGGAACTTTTCTATGATGAGTGTATAAGCCTAAGCCCAAGCCCAAGACTCATCATAATATTATTAAAAAAAACTTATGTTTATATAAGCTGTTCAGAGGTGACTCGTAGTCAGTTACATTTCTTGGAGAAGGATTCCCTTGTCTTGCTTTCCCTCGGTAAGCTACAAGTGATTATGAGGTGACTTTGTGATACACACCATCATTAGCACTGCATCTTATTCAAGACACGGATATATTTTTACAAGAGCCTGGAAATTCTCATAATGTTGAGTATCTGTCAATACTAGAAGCAGTCCTGTCCAAACTTCACCCCTCTTCAACTGAGTTTGTTGTTCTCTATCACCTACCTAACAATGCCATATCATGAGATGGAAGTAGGAGTGAGGAACCACTCAGCCAGGCTAATTATTATCAGTCCCAAAAAACTGTGTCTCATTGACTGGATTGCTGTCGCGCCTCTTCTTCTGCCCCTCCCTACGGCTCCTCGCTTTAATGAGCCTAGCGATCGTAGGCCATTAACTTATACCGAGTATTCATAATCACCATAAACCTCAGTGACGGGGTCACACAAATGGTAACACCATGATAAAGTTTTCTCGCCCTACTTCACTCGAAAGTGATCAAGAACAACAACGCCAACAGCAATGCCGCTTCACTTTCACTTCGTGCCTTGAAAACGGGCCAAATCTCAGGGGTAAAGTATACTCTCCTTCTTTTGCATGACTTGACCAACCTCAAAGCACATTATAAATACCGTTACAATGACCTTCGACACCAATGCCCCTGATATCTATACTCTCTTTTTCGAATGTATTGCCCATTTTGATGCAGTTCAACGTGAAATAAGACACCAACCCGCCAAGCCAAACAATCCTTGCCTTCGCGAGAAGATATCTCAAAAGCCCATCAAGATTTTTATCGATGGGGTATAAGTTACAGGGCGAATCTAAATCCAACATCTACAATAGCTTTGGACTACAAGTTTCGTAACCAGGATTATACTAGATCGACAATTCTGTCACAGCTTGGATACTTGGTCGAGGATCTGGAAAGTCGTAAGTACAGTGTTGATCCAAGATGACCGTACTGATTTAATCATGTAGTTCAGAAGATGTGTGATGGGGAGAACTTGCGGGGTGACGCCAGGTATATATTCGGGAGGGTCGAAAATGTGGTAGCTGAGTTGATACGATTTCTCGGTCATCTACCAAAGGAACTATGGCTTGAGCCTGAGAAATGAGAACCCCCTCCATCTATATATATATATGTATAGCAAAGTCTCAAAATAGCCTTCCAGCGAAAAAGAAAGAAAGAAAGAAAGAAAGAAAGAAAGAAAGAAAGCTCGAGGTTTTGATAATCTTCAGAATGGCAGTGTCGTGTTTGTGCCCCCATGCATGTGGTTGCTTTATCATTATGATACCTGTCCTAGTAGTAAGGATAAATAGGCTCAGGAGCCTCAAACGGTGTTAAAACTTGCGATCTTACAGGATCTTGACCAGTCTCTAGGTACTTTATATATGATCGTGTGCGCCACTGAACCACTCCTCGCCGCTCGTTTGGCTAAAGTAGAATAAGACTGAAATATGTAGTTGATGGTATAAAAGCCTCATCTATGTCTATCTTGGGGCAACCCTTAGCTAACTAAATACCATCCTCTCAAAGCATTACTGTTACTTCGTAGGTAGTCATGGACTCGTGATGTTGATACATGAACCTCCTCTCCTGACTCGTTTTTCTCCTTTGTATCTCTACCGTCAATTTATCATGTCATAAATTATTTCTGTAACACGCGATCATGTGTGTGACAGAACGCTTCATGTTGGTTGTCTGCCCTGTGGGCTTCCTCGATAACTTCCTCTGCCACGTCGGCCACGGTACCAAGGGGATCGTCCTCGTCGACCACCGCGGCCACCACGACGTGGAGTGGAACTGATGGGGTTCTCTCTGGGCTCCGAGATTTGGTTATTGCTGTGCTTGACACCGTCAGTGGTGCTTGTTCCTGCAGTCACATCATCTTTGCCTCGTGAATCTTCAAAATTTGATGATAGGCATGTTGCGCTTCTGCCTGACATGGTAGGTTGCGTTTTTTGTTCAGCGCTTTGTTTTCCGGAGCATCGATCGATGTCGCTATCCTGAACCTTCACTGTCTGGGAAGCTGAAGAAAGTGTTTGGTTGTGCTCAGTGGGAACAGGGATTTGAGATCCTGCACTAGTCTTCATAGGAGGCAGTGTAACTCGACGATGCTTCTTATATCAGATACAATGACCACAGTAGATTTATTTAACACTTACCGGAGACCTCGACTTCACTATCGACGAGATGAGGGGTTCATTGTCCACGTCGGTTCCATCGGATCCCTGAGATGCTTGAGATGGTTCGCTCTTCGACTGGGCACGTCGAGAATAGTACGGCTGTTTATATTCGAAAACTTGACTCTGTGCCGCGTCTCGTTTCTCCGTTACCTCTTCAGCTTCATCTCCACCTTGGACCAAAGCTAGGAAAGTCAGTGGAGTTCAGGAACTCGGTCCTTTGAACTTACGCTCCGAGGTTTTTGCTTCATCAAATTGTTTCGCTTGTTTGTTCTTTATAGCACGGCCAACTGCTGCAATAAATGCTTTCTTTTTCTCGCTAGAGTTCGTAGCTGGAGTCGTAGTGTCATCGGTACTCGTAATGGTTCGACCCTCCTATGGCCGACCAGCAACGACTGGCTTCTTCAAAGTCTTCTCATCTTGTTCGGCAACCTCGTCAGACCACTGTCGGCTTGTTTGTGAGCTCACATTCAGCAGCCCGTCTTGGGCGGTAGAGGTGGTTGATGCCTCAGAAGTCTCGGTCTCCATGGATTTCCTGATCTTAGCCAACCTCCGAGGAGTGAATGTAGCGGCAATAGGATTCAACCGGGTTCCCTGACAGCAAAGGTTAGAATCACCAAAGACTATTTATCTTCGGCTGAAACTACCTCTTGCTTGCGAGCTGGGGTAACGGTAACATCCTCTCCGCTGGCTCTGGCCTCAGACAATTTCGCTTGCTCGTTGGTTGCTGTATTTGGCTTGTTGACTTTTGATAGTTCGGTCCTGGTCTGCTCTGAGGATAGGTCATTAACAAATCCTGCTTGACCAGCCGAGGCACCAGCGTCCTCCTCCTTGGTTCGCACAAAGACCTGCTTTGACCAGAGATCGGCGTATCTCCCACCAGCCACGATTAATTCATCGTGGTTCCCCTGCTCAAGTATCTCGCCATTTTCAACTACAATGATCCGGTCTGCGTTCATAATCGTTGAAAGACGGTGGCTTTGCGAATTAGCATAATCTGAGAGAGGTTGATGAGCAACAAACTTACGCAACGATGAACGTGGTTCGACCCTGACACAGTCTCTTGAAAGATATCTGGATCTGTTGCTCTGTATCTGTGTCAACTGCACTGGTGGCTTCATCGAGCAGAACAATGTCCGGCTTCTTCAGCATTGCTCGAGCTATTGCAATTCGCTGAAGCTCACCGCCAGACAGTTTCCTATATAAGTCAGCATGTAATTCTATAGTACTTTTTGAGGTTTACTCACACGCCGCGCTCTCCGACACGTGTCTTGTATCCTGTTGGAGGTTAGCAATGTCCGATAGATAACTCAGAGATGTTCTCATACCATGAGTGAAGCCTTTGATTTTATCATGAATGCAAGCGGCTTGACATGCTTCAAACACTTCCTCATCGGTCGCGGTTATTCTTCCATATCGTACATTGTTCATGATCGTGTCGTCGAATAGAATTGGATTCTGAGGAACGACTCCAATTCGATCGCGAAGACTAATTAGTTGTGTTAGTGGTAAGTCTTGAGTAACCATTAGTTAGGATCCAAGGTCTTACCTGAACAGATCAACATCCCGTATGTCTTGACCATCGATGCAAATACGGCCATTGCCCACATCGTAAAATCGATCAAGGAGTTTGATGAGTGTCGATTTTCCTGCTCCTGTGGCGCCCACGAAAGCGACTGTCTGGCCAGCAGGAACATGGAAGCTGACATTCTTGATTATGCCCTTCTTCTTGTCGTAGCTGAAAGAAACTCGTTCAAACTCAACCTCGCCAGCTACGAACTTCAGCGGTCTCGCTCCCTTCTGATTTTCAACTGATGGCTGAGTTCTCATGATGTCCAGCAGGCGCTCGGCATCGATGAAATCATCGCTGACGTTCTTTCCTAACTTCGCAAAGAACTGAAGCGGTGATGTCAATTGCGCCCAATACATCAAAAGCATTGCAAATTGTCCAGGTGTTGCCTGACCCGCTCTGATACGGTACACTGCTAGAAATGCGCTCGCGAGAAGGCCAGATGTCAGGACCAAGGTTTGAAACCCGATTGAGATATACCACCCAAGCACATATTGCTGCTCTCTAAGCCAACGATTGGTGACTGCATTGGCGTGTCGATTGTCTTCGTACCCGATTTGGTTGAATGCACTAACCGTCTGCCACCCAAGGAAGCCAGACTGGCGCACATAGTGTTCTTCATATAGTGCATTGACGCGGTTGCGGCTTGCAGCTTTGGAGTTAGCCACAAGTCTGCTGGCGATAAGAAGGAAGAAGACACCCGTAGCCACGGTAATGAGTCCTTCGTAGGGGCCAAAGGTGATAGAAAGGTAGACGATAGCCACCCCCATATCGATGAGCATGGGCACAGCATAGAGCAAGACATTCTCAATAACATTGGAAACCGCACTGCCCCCATAGATCGCCATCATCATATCTGATGAGCTTTTTGAGTCGTGGAAATCTGCTGAAAGATGCATCATGTGCGAGTAGGCTGCTCGTGTCAATGCGTCGTGAGAATAGTACTTAACAGGAACCCAGAGCCATTGACGAACAAGCTCGATGCCCGACTCAGAGGCAGCTAAGCGGAGCGCAGCAAATACAAGAACCGCAATCCAAGGATTGCTGTTACCGGAGCCATTCAGGCTGTCCATGATAATGCCTGTCTGGCGAGGGATGAGCAGGTGAAGAGCATTGGATCCAAACAGGCATAGGCACACGGCCGCAGCACGAAGTTGCAGGCCAACATTACCGACAGGCCAGACGTATGGAAAAAGAATCTTGATAGAAGTTAGCGCAATGACCCTTACAAATTAAAAGCAATGTAATCTTTGGGGAGGCCCAATTGGTGGACATGTGCAGGCGTTCTTCACTTACCTTGAAGCCTTTGGCGTACTCAAACCAGTTTCCACCTTCCTCGAGCCTCTTCTTCATAGCCTCTTTGGCCTCCCTCTCTCGGCGTTCCCAGCTATATTCTGGAGCCTCGTCTTCTTCTTCTCCATCTCCCTCGGCCTGCAGTGTCGATCCGTATCCAGATTCCTGACTGGTCGGGCTATCAGGTGACGTAGTTGTAACTTTGGGCAACAATGGTTCCTGCTCTTCATCGGATTTCGATTTCACGGAAGAACCAACAGTGAACAAACTAGCGAGTGATATGAAAGACAGACAACGAATGCCGATGCTAACACTTGCGAGAATGCTGAAGATATTGATAGGGGAGAACAATCCTGAAATCGCAGACAATACAGTGATGACAATATCAAAAGACAGGCCAAGCAACCAAGACCCGATAAAAGGATAGAAGGGGCCTTCTTCAGCGTCAAGGCAGCGACTGAGTTGGATTCCGAAGGCCAGAATGCAAGCCAGATGTCCAATGATGATGTGATCATCTGTTGGCCAGTTTTGCGAGAGGATTGCCCGAATCCCAAGCAGCAGCAACTGGGTAGTGTATGCCAGGATACACAGGAGGTAGAAGACAAGTGTCAACCGTCGGTTGGGACATTTCTTCTTTCGCTCATCTTTGTCAGAAGAGTGTACCGTACAGGCCGAAACGAGTGAGGCGAAGAAAAAGTAGATGAAAACGAGAGCTGGGTACAAGTAGTACAGGATCACCAAGGCGGTCTCCGCGGGTGAGTTGACCGCCATGGTGGCTAAGTTTGGATCGAGCATCTGCATTGATCAGGAATATGAAGCTCTGAAGATTCCAGATAAAGTCGACTGAAGCGATGAGCAGGATCACAATTATTGGTGAAGCTGGCAAATGGAATCCAAGGCAAGGTCGTAAGAAGCGGCCAAGAAAGAGTGTATGAAGTACCCTTGGGGGAAAGCAAAGGACAAGGAATATGGAAAAGGGCAACCTCTCGATCCGTCGTAGCAAAGATTGCACTCACCGGTCGTAACCCGTGGTGTAATAGTGATAGCGGGAACCGGCGTCGAAGGAGAATTTGAGGATGTAGAAGTCCAGTTTAAGGCCAAGAGTTGAGGATCACTAAATGCGGTGGAACATAACAAACGGGATCTCTCCTGCACGTTTGCGTTCGCACTGGGCTGCTTCTTTCCTTCCTCGAGTTACCTGAACAAGGTATAATACAATCAGGCAGGTCAGCTGCTTGCGATCACCAAAATGTCTTGGTTTGTCTGGTATGCGGGAAGGTGCGATGCGCGGTCGGATGTTCCAGGTTGGCCGCCCCGTTTGTGGCTCGAGTAGTACAAGACACTTTAACCTCAGGTGAGGTGAGAGTAGTCGTCAGCGGTGAAAAAGTCTTCTTCCTCACGCGCTCATTCAATCGTCGATAAATCTGAAGCGAAATTCGTCCAATTCCTTCGGTAACAGCGTGCAATGAAGCATGTATTTCCAATGCTTCTCTCGCAATCGATTGTCACGAGGACGCAATGGTGATGTCTGGTATCGACAAGGGATGTGGATGACAGGCGCTTTCTTCCTGGAACTTCGACGATTTTTACTTCGCCTAAAACCTCCCCGACCAATGCGCTTGGTATCAAAGCCCGGCCTCAAGAAAAACTTCAGATTAGGATACAACAACACTGATGCCTCGATATTTGTTGCAGGGGCCTAGCGGATTTTTACTGCTGAGGAGCCGGGGAATTTCCACGCCGGGAGGTAATGAGTATATGATGATGCCTGTTCGAGAGTCTCCGCTAAATTTGGAAAGTCGAGGGGAACTTCAATTCGACTTCTCGCGGAACTGAGAAGCTTTTCGAATGCCGACTCGCAGGGAAGAATTGGAAAGAAGGAATCCTAACGTTTGCAGAATTGTCCAGCTTGAAATATATTCAGGGCAAAGATCAATGTGGCTCAACTTCTCAAAGGGGCATACTTCCTTCACTTGCGACAAGGGTACATTAGTCGTTACGAAGCTATCCATATGGGCCATACCCACTCCAGTCTGGCCATCTTCACCGGCTCATGCGCCTTACAAAGGCTGATTGGTGTATAACCAGTTTTTAACGACTTGGATCGCCTCGCGGAATGGAACCCCTGGTTTACGGGTCAGCAGCGATGTCACAAGGGAACGTGATGCTGTCACCGCTGAATTACCGACTGCTAGGGAGATCTCCAACAACCTGCATTCAGCCCCAGCCCAGTCCTAGCTGAGGCTCAACCCAGGTTCAAGATGCACTCCAACAACTTGGTCTCGTGCCAGCGAATTTCTCTCTAACCTCCTGCCGATTTATACCGCCAGACCTAACCTCAGAGCTTTGCCCACTTCCTTGTCTAGCCGTATCACTGCCGCAACATCTCAACTTTCTTCACGGCCATGCGACTTCACTACGAGATCTCAAATATTGAACCATGTTTTGCCTGTGACGAGCCAGATCAAATCAATAGGCGAGAAACAGATGGATCTAAATCACAACACTATAACCATCCGTTCCGGGACCGCATCCAGACAACACTGATCACTAAAAAGTCTGTCCGTCTATCAATTCAGGTGTCGCAGTGGTGGAAACTGGGTGGACATGGAATTTATTTTGTATTCATCCGACTTAGTTGACCTCGGCGTTGAGCACTTTCCGTCAGCCCATTATCCTCAACCCTGCTCTCCGTCGATCTTGACACGAATCTCCTCATTCAATACCATGATTTGCAGGTCCACGGTGACGATTGAGAATTTGGTCCATTCAACCTAGTGGGTCACTCCGATGCCATCACCACATTCGGCATGTTCTAATGCAGACTTTCGATTAGCTGCAGGGGAAACATGAGATCTGGGATCACCCCACACTCTTCGATCTGGAACGACAGCGATCCACCTCGCATTTAGGCATTTGACACGCCCTCGCAACGTTCTAATCCGTGAAAACTCCAACGAAGCTCGAAATCTAGTGGGACAGATCTGCACCACCCAATGGTCATTGCCACATTTAACAGGAGTTCAGCAAGCAACGAATATACTAAGAGAATTTACACCGAAGGAGGATGAGTGCCTCTGACAATTGGGCTCTGGAAACAGCAAAGGAGGATAAGCACGACAAATGTATCACCGCCAGCAGACTCAGCTAATAAGTAAGAGCTCGCTCCTCTTTTCACTTCGACGAGAAACCAGTTGATCTAAACTTCTGGATTGCTGGATAAGAAAGAAAGATACTGGCTAACCACCTTTGATACAGAACGCTCACAATATGTCACTCCCAAGCCAAAAACGCCTTCGCCCATGCTCATATATACAGGATAGCTTTTGCCTCAGTTCGCTTTCGAAAGTCCTAACCAAGCTACATGATCGTACTTTTCTCAAGGCGATGGTACAGGATCATAGCCTCGTTACTAAAACCCCCATGAAGGATTCCAACTGATAACATCCACATGCTGGGGTGGAGGTCCCATACCGACATACACCTCGGATTCGGGATGATGAAGTGGTGTCATGCTGGTGAGCGGTTGACCATGCATATGGATTGAGCCCTTGCTGTAAGGATTCATTGGCATCTCGAAGATTTCTTCTCCGACCTCTGATGCTGAGGCATGACCTGTTTGGAAAGGCTGTGACCAAGCTGGCGAGACTCCTTCAAACTCCGGAGTAGGTACACCCAGGGACTCAGTGGGGCTGGTGCCGCTATTGCATGAGCCTCGACGGTATGGGCTCATGGGGTCGCTGTCAGGCTGGAAGGCCGATGAACAAGAAAGCAGACCATCAACTGTCTTCTTGGCTTCATTGGCGATATATTTCTGAATCAGTACACAGTTGCAGTCTGTGTGTTGCAGCAATTGAGTTTTCAGGTGATATATCTCAGCTGTCAATGAATCAAAGCATGAGGAAAGATATCGGTTCTGGTCTTCCATGGCTTGTTCCTGAGAAGCAAGAGCGGATGCTTCGTCTCGTTTCCGAAGACGACACTTGGTCGCGGCTATCCTGTTGCGTTCAAGAATGCGTCGACGTCGAGGGTCCTTGGGAAGGTCATCTTCGTCAAGCTCAATCTCCTGACGAAACTTCCCCGACTCGTTGGCTCCTCCCTTGGGCTTGCGACCACGTTTCTTCTGCTTTGGGGAACTGGGCACAGCTCCTAGGCCGCTTTCTTCTTTAGGGGTGATAATGCTTAACTGAGAAGGTTTCCGGTTTCGAGCCCGACGGGTGGGCTTTTGCTCAGCCTCGCTGCTTGGCAATGTAGCCAGTGAAGGGAAAGGGCCATTGGGTGCATTGGATACCGGGTTATACTGGAATGGTGCTTGCATAATGCCAAGTGCCATTTCTTGTGGGTGAGGAGAACCACCTATGGCCTCTTCAAAGAAGGAAGGGTCTTGGACTTGTCCAAGAACAGGCTGGTATTCCATGTTTCCTCGACTTGTCGGCGACGGTGTCCTAGTATAATATGGAGAAGGTGTCATGATATATCCTGGTGATGGGGTTGCGGTCATAATGTTCATGGGGTTTCCAAATGGGAGTTCCATGTGGTGAGGATAAGAGTGTACAAAGGCAGCCATCGGAGTCTTGTTGTCTGTCCGGTTGAACAGAGTGCAGTTGATTCTGAATCAGGTTGCTCGGAAGAGTTGAGACACAAACGTCCCAAGGTCGAAGTAAGAGTTGAAGTGTTTGGTCAGTCCTCAGTCAATTGGGTTTAGCTGTTGATACAGCAAGGCAAAGAACAATATTTTGTTTTCCGTATTGACACAAAGAGACCAAAGATCTAGAGGATAACGGAACGGCGACTCAAAGAGGGGGGGTTCACTCAATATATGATAGGTATGATCTGAACTTCGTTACTACTACGTCTTACGAAACAGCACGTTGTACTCAACACTCCTCCAGGGAACCGGGTCCATCAAATATGCACGGCAGCTCTCACCCCAGTCCAGCCACATTAAACCAGCACGCCTGGTTAGTGCCCAAGCAGAGGACGGCATAATCCAGGCAAGGCCGTGAGGGGAAAATAGACTTTCGATCAAAGTGGAAGAGCTTTAGACAACGCCTGCCATTGCTTCTGCGGCATGATAGGGCCAGTAACAAGCCCCTCAAGCCCTCAGATGATTTCCATCTTATTGGTCCGGACTCCTCTCGGATGGTGCTCTTAGTCCATGTCTCCTCAGAGATGCCGAGTCTGCACCAGCTTCCTACAGATCCGGATAATGTGCATTGCCTTGGACGCCTTCGCGTAATAATAACATCAACCAAGTCCCAAGGCTAACGGGGGCACAAGATGTGATGTGCCCAAGACTCCGCCATCCGTCTCGTTCGTCCTGGATTGAATGGGGTTTGAACTAAGTACGGATATCTGCAAACCGTTGTACCTGGAAGCAGGCACGGTGGCGTTTGAATTCTCATACTCCTGGAAGAGATGCTAGTATCTCCTCCAGACGAGACTTGGCCAGGTCCCAATAGTTTCGGCCACCATCAGGAGCCACATTATCTGCATATTCTGGGCCTGGCAAACCTAATTCAAATTGGAAAGGAAAGCCTCCAAAGTTCAAGTCTTGGTGTGGCAATACCTACTCTCCAGCTGGTGTGGCACTTATCAAACTGGGAGGAAACGGTGAATTCCGGGGGTTGTTCTAACCTCTGTTTAAAGAAGCGGCGGCCCAGCATCGTGAGCCATTTGCTGGGTATGGCTGATCTAGACTCACTCAATCACGCCAACTGGCCTAAAAGACGATCGCTGCTTATGCAATACTTTCATGGCGATAATGGAAGAATGTTGCCTTGCATAGCAAGCCGACAACGGCCGAGCCCAACCGGCCTGATTGTTAGGTCACAACAACTCGGCCGAAGACTCACGAACGAACGCAATACTGCATCGGAAAGAAAGCTTGACTCTTGGCAAGCTACATGGACCCCAGGCCGCCCGGCCCATGTCTTCCTGCATCCGAGATGGGCAAACTTTGGAGCTAGACAAGGGACTAAGCTCAGACCAAACTGGTCAAGAACTTCAATACCAGCAGGATGTGAACATTTCTTTTTAGCTGATACAGAGCAACGAACCAGTGGGTGAGATGATCAACAAGCTTTCCGACGGCAGCGATGAACTGAGGGATCAGATTCAAATTAACTTAACACACGTTTAGCATGACGCAAAACAAGCCTGTGGCTCAGTTGCGCGCAACGATTGAGGTGAGACTCAATGAGGCATCTGCGGGGTTCATTATCGTCAAGCTGATGGGGTCTAACATAACATTACAGTCGAATGTCCACCAGGTGCGTATGTAGAAATGAATACATACATACTAGTCGACGGCACAATTTGGTTCCTGATGCAACTACCATTATTTAGGCGTATCTTCAAGTGCTATACTCAGTCCTGCCGATCCTGATAACTGACTGCTTCGCGCGTCGGAGCCTCGATGCCAGATTCATAGTTACATGCATAATGAGGATCAAGGTTGATGGTTGGTGGCGCTTTTGGCGCTTTTGAGTCGAGACCTTGCGTCCTCAGTGAGGCACAGAATTCAAGGTTCGCCAAGTTCCTGGAAACTGGGCGACCGTTGAACCTCCGCTACAGCCCCTCGAGCTCCGTTTCACTTTATCAACAAAGCGTCGCATGTCTCTCTATTTGGCCAACAAATCCCTGGCAGATTACGCACGCACTCCTCATGAGCCTTTAAAACTTGGACACTCGTCACCTTGAAAAGCGGCGGGAGGACCTTAAAGGAATACAACAGTCAAGAGGAAGACGTGAGGTCTCGAGAAGAAACGAGTGAATGCGATAAACAGGCAATTGGTTTGTTTTTCTGGTGGCTCTTGCATTTCAGGTAGCCATAAGTTAGATGGGCTGACCACCCCCATCTTTTACGGAGTAAGGTAAGCGAGTGCAACATCATCAAGCTTTTCCCGTTGAAGCAATGAAGTTCTCCTCGGAAGTTGGTCTGCTTTTGCTTTTGCTTTCTTAGGCACAGCTCTGCAGTATCTGTTTCCAGTGCTACTGTCCGATACTGTGTATGCATTACCAGACTTTCGAGGTAAGTACTTTACACTGAGATGAAGCAATTGATGATAGGCTAACCGGCCTCCTGGTCCCAAGCCCACTTCGTGTTCCCGGATCGACAGGCGCCCACAAATATTTCTATCCTCTTTCGGGAATAGACAGATATTGTTAGTGGATGGCTAGCTGTTGCTTTTGCTCCGCAAGTGGAGAGAAATCTTTCATCAGAACATCACAAACTAGAATCGGAGGGCGCCGACGGAGAGAGTTAACTGGTAACCTAAGATGAAGGAGCCGCTAATTATACTTTAGTCTCAGCTAATCGTGGGAAACTAAACCAAGAGCATCAATTTCCTTAGCTTGACGAGCAACCACCACCGAGCGAACTTTACACTGGAGAATACGGCTATGTGATGCCGCTTCAGCGATCCCTCCATCAACTACGAATACTATACAATAGGTATTCGCTCTGCCACTGTCGGGCTAAGCTCCTACTCCCCCCCAACCCCGCTCCAGAATGCAACGTCAAGCCAGGCTGAGTTGACGGGGAAATGATCCGCAAAGCATCGGAGAGGCAATCGACAACGGTTTAGTTGAACCTACACTAGGCTACACTCTACAACTCTTGGGGAAGACAAAGTTCGCAAGCCCATCTGCCTGTGCACGACAACGCCCGTGGCATCCACGCTATGTGGCTGTTCTGGACATGAAACCGACCCTGGATTGCATTTAGCAATAGCTCCAGGGGACCGGACTGGAACTGGTTCAAAGCCAAGATCATTCATATCGTTATTGCGACATCTCATTGTACAGATATTCTCCGTAGCGCTGGCATGGATTACCTGGCGGGTCCGAGTTTCCCGGCCGGGAGAGGTCCTCAAGGTGCAGGCTGTAGGGGTTGGAAATGTACTATTGTGATCCGGTACCGTATAAAGGCAGCAACTGGGTTTCTAAGAGGCTATACCCATCTTTTGAGATATCCTGATTTATTGCAGGAGGTCTTAAGATAGGTATCTCTTAATGTATTATACTTGCCACTTAGCTGTAAAGCCCTCCAATTAGAGGCACCGGCATGTGATCTATAATGCACAATGCATTTTCAACCCCTGCAGCCTGTAGGGAGCCCGCAAAGTGTTTATCGCAAGGACAACATTGTGACTAATTCTCCAGTGAGGGGGCTTTTCTTTCGTAGCCTCTTCTGCAGACATAAGCGATTTCTTACTATGCTGCCATCCCAAGAAGATCCGGCCATCACATCTCCGCAATTGTGTCCAGTCAGCTTGCATCTACTAGAGAAAACGTGTCCTCTCTTTCCATCAATCTCAAGCTAGGCTTGTGGAATTATCAAGACCCCAGTTTATTAAGGAGCATCGAGCTATCTCCGAGGGTAGATATTCCCGTGAGTGCGGAGAGAGACAACAAGACTTGCACCTGGATGTGCGCACGGATCTCGTGCTCGAGGCAGACTGGGCGTGGACCTCAAAATTCTCTCCCAATGTGCCATCCACAGTTCGAGACGTTCCTGAAGAGGGTGGTTCCTGGCTGTCCCTACGCACAGGGGATTGGCGTAACGATGACCCCTCCTCGACAAGGTTTTGATGGGCTGACTGGTGAGTGTTGTGCTAACAACCGTGCCCTGGTTGTAAAATGGCACCTGTCATCTCTTGCGTAGGCTCGATGTCTTTGACACCACACCCTCAGCAAGAGGCTGCACCGTGAGATGCACATGCAGCTCGCGCCACAGGACGATGAGAGGCTTGATCTGATCACCACCCATCTTCTGAGCCTGGACGCCGTTTTGGGTACGGGTTCAGCCAGCCATCCTCGACCAACACTACACATGCGACCGTTCACGAATGTGGATATTCCAATACAGTTTTGCAAGGAAGTTGCTTGCAAGGTGGAATGATCTGACTCCAGCCAAAAGTATCCCAACATAGCAATGACGATTCCCCTGCAAGGAGGGTTTCCTGATCTGCGCTACCCGGCTAGCCATTGTCAACAAACCGTTACGTGCAATTCCACCCCAGAGACTCTCTGGGTACTTGATCATAGAAGTACGATGCCAAGTGGCTGTGACTTGCACATGCATGTGATTTTTGGTCGCTGCAGACTACTACATACGTTTAAAGAGTGTCTTCGTGACGCAGTGCCACACCAATAAACAGTTTTCCTCAGTGCTAGACAGCCAGGGCGGCATGCAAACTCCAGCATGTTAACCGGTATCTTGTATCTGGCTATTCGTTGCAGGTGCCACCTTCAATCACACTCATTCTAGCAGTTGTTGTTGTTGTTGTTTTTTTTGCGATCTCCTTAGCAGATCTGACTCTATTAGGCAATTTGAAGAGACTACCTGGCAAGATCCAGATCTGGGCCATTTTCAGGTAGTCTGATTTGTGAATATGGCCAAGCCAAAAGTAGCCAGGCGGCATCAAGCTTAATGCCCTTGATAGCAGATGGCCCAGACCAGGCCAAGCACTGGTGCATGGTATTGTCGGATGCAGTTTTCCTTGAGGCGTTCATTTTGGATCACGTCTAAGCGCCGCAATGCATCCTTTATTCGGCAGTTACACTAAAGAACAGCTTATTCCCATCTCATGGGTGAAACAAATACGGATATAAGTCAACGACATAGCAAGTGGGCCTCGATTGTCAAAGCGCAAAGTCCTCTCCACACCAGTCACATGGAAAAAGGAGGTCGTCGCGATGAGTTATATTCGTCGCTAAGCCAGTCTCCTCGAATCTAGCCGTAGTGAATCGCCGCGGCTTGTGTCACCAGTCAAGTCTCTGGTTGGTGCAATGCATCGGACAGGGTGACATATCGGACCCACGGTTGAATATGCAGACATTCAAAAAGAGATAAACCAGGCTGTCCAGTGCCCGCTGTCGCTTAGCAATTGAGTGAATTTAAGGACCTGTTGGGAGAGGAAGAGGCCTCATCTCCTGAACCGAGTATCAAGCATACGGAATGGAGCGCCTTGACGATCACGGACCGACGAATCATAATCTCAATGGGCGCGGTACCCGGTTGAAGTCAAGGGTACATACATACTCTCGGGCTCTTCATCAAAGACTCAGGGATCTCGACAGCAAGCTTAACCTTGATGATCTACATTCACGGATGCTTGTCTGCTTCAATGTAGTAATTACTAAACGGATATGCCGCTGCTGCCATTGACAGGGTATGGGATGCTGATTCGAGTTTCCAAGGCTGAACCAACCATAGGCTTTGACTTGCCACGATCAGCAACAAGGGTGCTGGGTCTTCAACTGGTCTTTTAGTATTGTTTCTGTTGCTATTTCCAGGGACAAAATACCATTGAGCACTAAACGGTCAGTCCTTACGCTTGGACACCTCGTGCTTTGTCAAGTGCAGCCTTACCCTCAAGTCTTTAATTTTGATTATTCCTCATGCCTTTGTACCAACTTCGGCTGACGTCTGTGCTGCCGGAAAAGCAATGACCGAACCTGCAGGGATCCCTGGGTCCTGGTAGGGATTCAAGGTATTTTAGAGTTGGTGTTTGGAGTTTCGGCCTCTGAAAACCCCTGATATCAAACTTGTCACCTGCATTAGTTGCTTTGGTTCAAATCGATCTGAGATGACACTATCTCGCCAGGCGAACCAACCTCCCTTGGTCCGCAACCGGTAGTTGATTCTTTGATCGTCCGAAGTTCCATCATCGATCGAGTCCTTGTTTGCGACTCTACTACTACGTAGTAGACGATCAAAGTTTCACGAAAAATCATCGCACGGAACATAAACAGCCCTGAATGTCACCTTGGGAGTTTAACTTGTAGTTACAACTGCCGCGGTGGATATAGTGGCTCTCCGAGGTCCGGACGTCCCCGATGTCTGGACCGGCTCGAGATGTCGGCGGGGAACCCGGCCTGTCGAGCTCGGTTGACGATAACCGATTTCGGGGTCTTGCATCGAAACTAGTCGTTGTTGAATACAGCCATGTTTCATGCATTGTGGGCTATGTTGCGCTTTGACATCTTGCTAACGAGGCTTATGTTGTAGACAAGGATATCTGATTGCCATCGACTTGCTTCCCTGTCAGAAGACATGGCCTGTAATGGTGATAGACTTGATCCATGCTGCACATCACACGTCTTGATCATTTCTTGCATGACTGACCCAGAGTGAACCAATTTCTGAGTCATATGCAGAAGGACGTGATGGGCAGCACCAACGTCTGTGATTTCTGACACGGGACGAGGCATGGTGAGAAGCCAAGAGCGTGATAGAGTGTAACATACAGTGTTCCGAACCTGCTTTAATTCGCTTTCGGTTACTAATGGC